TGCCGCCGGGTTAAGTCCGCAAGCCTTGCGCCTGGGCTCAATGAAAGGCTTTAAAGGCCTTAGGGGCGAGTCACATAATGTTGACAAGCATGGTTGAGGCAAGATGCATGAGCTTCCGAGGTGCAGCTGGAACCAGAGCGGCAAGGACGTCGAGTTTGCCTTAATGTGCCTCGGCAGGGTCTTGGGGTGAAACGATTCGTCGCAGCATTGCGCGGAACACCACTTGGGGGTCTTCTTTTGATTTTGGAGTCGGCTCAAGATACCGCTCGCACCAGGCTTCTTTGCAGAAAGTACCCCGAAAAGCAGCCCCTTGCTTCACAAATCACCCCGTGCTGAAACCCCCCCCGCGCTCATGTGATCCCGAAGGGACGAGGGAGCCTTCGTGGGGGCGGGGGGGGGGGGAGGGGGCAGGGGCAGTACAGGGAGTTGTTCGGAGGTACGATGCCAAAATCCTAAACTCCGCCCTTTAAGCCCTACAAGCCGTAAGCCAAAGAAGCAAGCCCAGGTCCGTGGGGTGCCCGGGTGCCCTTTCGCGCTTTCGACTCTTATGATAGCCCAAACGTGGGCCTGATCTGCCTGGACGTCAAGGACGAGCCGGATGACATCCGCGCCTGGTCGAGGCGCGCAGTAGACAAGCCTTGGGCGAAACGTGTTTCGTCGAACTCTTGCAGATTTGAAGAGGAAGGGGGCATGGAGTCAGTGTGGAACGACGGAAAGTGTTGGAACACAGTCAGAGTGAGATGGTAATGAACAATCAAAATGCTAGGTGCAGACAAACTGGAACAAGTGTCGTGATCATCCACACTCCAAGGATCCCCCCCCCCCCCGGCGAAGGTGAACTTCAAGGTTCGTAAGACGAAGTACGATGGGAAGGTGGGGAGGAAGTGTAGGGAGGGGGTAGACTCCCTGCTGAGGCCTAAACCCTAAATCCCTGCACCCGAATCATCATCAACTCCTCCAAGTCCTTTAAACCCCAAGCCCAAGCCCAAGAAGCGAGCCCAGGTCGGTGGCGCCCGTTTTGTGGCGTGCTCGACGCTGATGTGCATGATCTGCCGGGCCGTCAAGGGAGAGCCGGTCAAGGCGCACGGTAGGAAGCCTTGGGCCTTGGGCGAAGCATTTCTTCAATTTCACATATCTTCAGGTGGAGGAAGGAGCGTGGAATGCCTAGATTTCCATCCGGGAGTTTCCACCAATCTACAAGTCCTTGGGTGCATCGGGGAGCAAAGTTCTGAGGATCCCAGGGCTTTCCTCGAAGCCCCAAACCCTCGTTGAAGGGAAGGAAGCTGTCCAAGGAACCCTTCGAACCAGGAAAGCCCTCCCAAGCCACTCAACCCCCTCCGAGCCACCTTGAGTTGAGTAAGGGAAGGATGGGGCTCTCTGCTTGGCCAGGATCCGAGCGTCTGAGAAGTAGACCTCAAGTGCAGAACAATTTGATCTAACATTGGTGCTGTTGTTTTCCAGCTTCATGGGACTCGTGTACATGTGTCACCACTAGGACACATGGGCACATTCTGCAACATGAGTGTTTGGTGAAAAGACGCCGACCAGCAACAAGTAGAGCAAGTTTGGGTACCATCAAACAGCTCCCAATGCAGCGGATCCTGCTGCAGGTGGTTTCGACGCTTGCCGAGAACCATCATTGCATCGAGTCGATGATTTCAGACACCCAAGGCCCAAACGAGGCCAGTGGCAGTTGGCGTGAAGCCGCTTGCAGGTGCTGCCAGGAACCTCCGTAGTAGTACATAAGCGTGGCTGGAGGCATTCAGCCTGTTCGCAGCGCGTCTTACTGTTTAAATGCATGGCCGGGATGACCTTCCTTGAACAGTTGGCACAAAGACACTTGCAGGTGCTTAAAAGTGCACCTGCGCATTCCCGCTGCTGGAGTCTAGCCGATCTGCTCGCTCAAGCTCTATAAGTCCCCCCGAGGACCTAGGCTGGAGCCAACTAGTCTGTTTGTACTGCGTGGCAACTGTTTAATGCACGGCCGGGATGACCCTTGAAGTGGAGCTTTGAGCTGCCGCAGCCACCTCTCACATTTTGCACATGCATCTCTAGACACATCTGGGCCGTACCAGCTTGGCGGATCGTGTGAAGAAGGGCAACGCTTGAGAGGTGTCGCGCCATGGCATCGTCTTGTCAATGTAAAACTGGTCGGACTGCGTGCTGCAGGCAGCATCCGAGCACAAATGCAAAAGAACGACCGAGCGCTTGCAAAGCCTTCTTGGAGAAAATAAACCCGACCGGCTCGTGACTTAACATATGAGTTGCAGCTCAGGGTCCGATCACTTAGTCCTTGTCCTTTAAACGCTGCCCAACACCTCATTCACCATTTTTGAGACGCAGCTGGGCTTTGGGCTCCCGTTGGGGACTGTCTTCATCAAATCTGTGCCTGTCGGGACTACTGTTGCGCCTTGTTCGCCGTGAACACTTTCGATCTCAAGCGCACGGAATAGTTAAGCACGAAAAGGAAGCAGCAGCTTCAATGTCAGAACAAGATGACTTTACCATTGGTCCGTGAACATGTCCGGCGTGTTCTCACAGCTGCGTGGGTAGGCAGTCAAGTAGAGCAAGAGGGGGAACGTGGAAAGAAGCATTCCTTCTACATCTAAGTCATATACGTGGGCATCCCATCTCTCAGAAGCTTTCGGGTGAGCCAACGCCGATGGGGGCAGCTTGGACACAACTACGCTGCAGTTTCCCAGGGCCACCTTTTTTGTAAGAGAAGGACCCCCCCCCCCCCCCTCCCCCGCCCTTCTTGCATCGAGTGCACCCGCCATCCCGCGTCCTGGTTGGGTGGCCTTCTTTGCCCTGCCCCTTTAGTGGGGCCTCAGATGTGGGATTGCAGGCCCCCCAATCCCTGCATGAACCCCGGAAATCCTTACATATACCCTATATAAATCCCCATATACACCCCATATACATCCGTATACTCCCTATATAAACCCTATATAAACCCTAGAATCCCTGCATCAATCCTTCTACTACAAACTGCCCTTAGAATCGCGAAGCTTCGTCCCAGCGAGGCCCGCAGCCATGGTGGCTGTGGAGGAGCCCTGGAGATGAAACTGGCCACATGTGAGTTCATGGGCTTCCCTACCCCCGTCTATACTACCACCATTTCGGGTTTAGGGTTTAGGGTTTAGGGATACAGCCCCTCCTAGGTTCCGCCCAAAATGAAGCTAAGCACGCAAGCCCCCGTTCTTTCAATTAAGCGGAGATTCAAAAAACAAAATCGAAAAGTCAAAAAGTCGAAAAGTCGAAAAGTTTTCGACTTTTTGACTTTTTGACTTTTCGACTTTTCGGGACTTTTCGGGACTTTTCGGGACTTTTCGGGACTTTTCGGGACTTTTCGGGACTTTTCGGGTTTTCGACTTTTCGGACTCCACCCCCAACAAAAAAAACGAAAAGTCGAAAAGTCAAAAAGTCAAAAAGTCGAAAAGTGGAAAAGCCAAAAAAATTGAAACGCGTAGCAGTCGGTAAAGCCCATCGAGAACTTGCGAGTCTGAAAGTCGAAACGTGAACGAGGGGGGGAGGGGGTGGACTGGATGCCTAAAGCGAGCAGAATGCAGCGGCTTGTGGTTGAGCAGGCATGTAGGCTACTGCTAGGTATGCCTAGAGCTCGGAGATGCGCCAATGACCGTGCGATACCGAAACACTTCTTGATAGACTGAGCTGATATTGGGACTGGAATGTTGCGTTTGCGACCCTGTGCACCTCTAAGCCCTGAACCCTAAAAGCTCCTAGCACCTGCTCTGCAACATGGAGCTGTCAAAGCCCAGCCACGGGTCGTCCCGCAGCCGACGGAGATCCCACATCCAATATTAGAGCGCAAAGCCCCAGACCAAAACGCTTCTAGGCCCTGTTATCAAAGAAAGCCCGAAACGAATCCTTGACGAATCCTACAAACAAGGTTACCCAATGTCTGTAGTACTCGTACCATACTTAGTAGAGGGGAGGGGGGGGGGGGGAAGGAAGGGATTGCAGAGAATCTCCCGGCTCCAGACCCCCCGGCTGCCCCTGCCCCCGCCACCCCTGGCGCCCACGCAACCGGAAGGAGCTGCATCGCGACCGGAGGAAGCCGAACAAGTTCGCAGCAGTCCTCAAGCTTGTGGGGAGCAGGAGCTTGACCTCCCGGTGCTGCATCCGTCAACCCCATACTCAGCCTATTTGTACCCAAAAGCCAAGTTGCATGTCACATGTTCGCGAATGCTGCAACGAGAGCAGGTGGACTGTTCCTCAAGTCCTTAACGGAAGCCAAAAGCCGAGGACCTTTGCACGCTCGTCCACCGAGGCGGGGCGCTTCATCGGTTCAGGGGCTTAAGAGTAAGGGATTTTGTAAATATAATTAGGGTTTTTATGGCTTGATAGTAGGTATTTGTATAATAGCGTTTTTACGGCTTCATAGGGTTTTTGGTTTGCGGGGTTTTGGGCCTCTCCACGGGATTTGCACCGGCTCATGAGAACGTCGTCCCTTCGCTCACTACTTGACCAGGAACAATGTTGCGCTCCTCTCCTTAAGATATTCGACCCACCACCAGATAGATCCAGGGCAATGGAATTGCCCACACCTGCGTGCCCCTCTCCCTTTCCTGGCGCTCTCTCTCTCTCTCTCTCTCTCTCTCTCTGTCTCTCTGTCACTCACTCCCTCGCTCTATCGGAGGAGTGAGCCTTCATTTGGGTGCCTCTCCGATGCTGGATCCGGATCGCGCGAGGCTCTTGAACCCAGCCAAAAAAAGGAGAGCGCGGAGCTGCTTGGAGACCGCAGTTGAGAAGCAGTTCAGCGAGCTCTCGGCTGCCATGCCTGAAGCCCCACTCCAAAGACCCCTTTAAACTCCTTTCACCCCAAACCCTGCAAAACCCCAAAAGCCGCTAGAGAAACCCTAGAAACCCCCCAAATGCCCCCAGAAACCGCTAGAAGCGCTGGCGTCGGCCCCCGCGCAGCGCCTTTTTTGTTGGCTCTTCCAACCAAACCCGGCTCGTCCCGCAGCAGCCTTGACACCATGGCACCTCTCCTTCAGGCGATGCAAGAAGGCACCTGAGCCGAAAGGGCCGTGCTGGGCTTCTAGGGTTCTGTACTTGGGAGGTTCATGGGTACCTTATGACCCCCAATTCGAAGTCTACTTAGAACCTACCTAGAAAGGACTTAGGGGGGCTGATAAGTGCAGCTCTAGTTGGGGTTATAAGCACCCTGAAAGTCCAAGTAGGCTTTGGGGCATTTTGGGTTTATCGAAGGCGGAAGGAGCCCCTGAAGTACAAGAAGGGGTTTAAAGGGTTCAGGGGTTTACAAGTGGGTACTTTGGGATAGATCGAAAGGAGGCCGATATTTGCAAGGAGGGGCTTTAGGGTTTTAGGGCTAAGGTTTGTACAACTAAAGTGGAGACGCCGGGATATGTACAAGACCAGGGAAGTACACTGATGGAGCTGGCTTGTAGAGGCATAAACCCTAAACCCTAAACCCTAAACCCTAAACCCTAAAGCCTAAACCCTAAACACTAAGCCCTAAACCCTTGTAGTGCTTACGACATATACTGGCACAGGGCGATCAAGCGTGCAGCATGCCAGAAAGCGGGTTTGCAGTGCGCGGAGTTCTCCTTCTTCAACATCCCCTCGAAGAGACAGCCAACAAGTGCATTGATAGCCCCAGGGTTCGCACCTTAGGGACTTCTGGGATTGAAGAGTTGCGTGCTTTTCTTTGGACAACATCTGAGTAGAATGTCGGTTTATGAGGAGCGCAGCAGCACATTGTCCTGAAGACCGTATACAGGTCTATCCCAACTGGCAATAGCATCCCCAAATCCCCCCCAATAAACCCCCAAGAGACAGATTCGATTGAAGGCTGCCCCTGTGGCAAGGCAGCATCAGGAACCCCAGGGTTTAGAAGTTCCTGCTCTTGGGTTTCGGGTTTAGGGAACCTAAGCCCTGAAGATTTCATGTTCCCGTCTTGGGTCCAAGTCGTTGGGCCTGAGTAGGTCGTGTTTATAGAATCAAGGTTTATGCACGTTTCGTTTTTTGGGGCTTTAAAGGATCATGTGTATGGAATGTTTTCTTTATTCCAGGGACGTGCTCCCTTGTTGGGGTGCTTGGAAGGGGTCATGTTCGAAAATGAAATTTGTCAGGGGCCGAAAGACCCAACAATCTCCAAAACCTGAACTCCCAACCGTACTCTCAATCGGGAGTTGACAGAGCTCGCCTAGGCTGCTGCTGTCCTGGCATTGGCGCACTCTTCTGGAGATCTAGGCGTCAGTCCGAGGCCAGTGGAGCAGCGTCTCAAGTGGTTTATACGAAGTTCCTACAGGGTTTGTAGGGCTTAGGCTGTTTAGGGACACTTCAGCAATTGGCGTGCCTCTGGGGCCTCTAAAGGGGGACAACAGAGACGCGCCTCGGCCTTCTCATGGAGGTTTATGGTAGCGAGTAGCCCAAGTATTAACTGTACCTCGTACACCAATGATAACCCTATTCGGGTACTGCTTATAAGTGGGGCATAACTATCCTGAACCTCCAAGCTTCTCATGGCTGGCCTACACCATCAGTTCGGTGGGATTCTGGTCACAAGAACAGACAGGCGATCCTTTCTTTGAAAGTTGCAGCGCGGGCCTGCGGTTGGTCCCCGTTCGCCCTTTAGCATGCACACCCGGTTCGGGCTGTTGAGCTCCATCCTGCCATCAACCTCAGACTTCCAGCACCAAGCTTTGGCTGCATTGCCCTCCGGCTCTGGCTCCCACGCACACTCAAGCGATGCGCGCCCGGGTTTGCAGATCCTGGGCATGTTTTGGGCCGTTGGTCCCGTGTTAGAAGCGCTTCTCCAACCTCGGCTCCGATGTCCTCCGTACAGCACTGTTCGCTTCCTGCCAGCCAAGAAACTCTCTTGAGAGCCTTGAACATATTGGCTCGAGTTGTAGTCGCGTCCGGCAGGGTCTGGTTCTGCTTTGGGCTTGCAGGGCTCTTTCTAGGCTGCGTGCGAGCTTTGTTGGGAGTGGATTCCGGACGTTGCGCGTGGATCCAGACGTTGTTGGGTGCTAGGGGCGCTTTTGAAGTTTGGGAGTTTTGTCTTTGTGGATGAGGCACTGCACGAGATGCAGCCCAGGCTTGTCGATCCCTGTTCATGGGCCTATGACTCCTGTTTCTGGCCTCAGGGTGCCTCCAAAAGCTGAAGATCACATGCAAGTGGTCGCCCCAAGAGGCCAGACAATGGTTATGCTATACTTGTGCATTATGATGTTCAATAGTTCAGTGCCCACACAGTCCCGGTGTTCTGGTGCAGTGCAACACGCAAAGCCGGATCCGGCCAGAGTTGCAGAGAAAGATGTGTATACGGCCTGCCTTGACTTGTGCACAGTGGTGCCCAAACACTGAGTACTTGAGGCCTTGCAGTCTTCTATCGCAGTTTTTGTCGTTGCAACGCACGATGATTTCTTGCGTGCAGACTTGGCAGGCCCCGAGCCAGGCGGCAGGCCGGGGGCTCGCTCAGGGCGCCGGGGCTCTTCGCATCAGGATCATTCGCACACATATGCAGGGCTACAGGTACACAGCTCATCGGTGTGTGTTTTGTGGCACTTCGGACCCCGGAAGGATCTGGAGGTGGTGTGAAGGAGGCGTCTCCCGCTGATCGACCTGCAGAGGCAGCTCCTTGGGCTTTGATGGTGAGTTGAAAGAATGAAGCATCACGTGCACTCTGAATCCAATGGCAGATCCCAACGGTAGATGCTCGACTTCGCCGTGATGTCTGTGACCTCATTCACTTGTTTGATACCCTCGGGATTCTTAGCGAGCCACAGATGCCGAGGAAGCTGCCGAGCCCTCCGAGCCCGCCAAGGAGGACGAAGAGCGGTTTCCGTGATGGTGGCAGCGGTATGCAGCGGTGCAGTATCGGGGATGCGTGCGCAGCAAGTGGGTTGCAGAGAGCAGCCTTGGAGCCTCATAGGAGCCGGAGTCCAAAGCCGAGGCCACGCGGCTGCTCTTCAGGGTTCTTCCGCCTCCGTTTCCCTGATCCCCTCAATGTGTTGTTCTAATGTTTGTTCATGCGTATGGGTTATCCCAGGTGCGTGTAGTAGTTCGCAGACGCACGCGTGCCCGGCAATTTGCTACTGTACGCCATCTACTTGTCTGGGAGAGTCGTTCCGACCAAGTCCCGTAAGGCTGCTTCTGCTGGAGATGTGATTGCTTCTAGTAGCAAGTGTTCGTGTTCGTGCTTAGCACGAAGCCCCATGCACGTCGTTAGTGAGCGCCCAAACTCAGCCTCCAGAGATCATCACAAGATCGTTTTCTGTCAGAGTACCTCTAGCTTAGCAAGCTCGCTGTGCCTGCGCAGGTAGCCGTCTACAGCCTCCGGGACAAGAAGGCCCTGCTGGCGTACTGCCGGGATGCCAAGGTGCGCCTCGTCCGCGCCGACTTCCTCCGGGAGCTCCTGGCAGAGGGCCGCACCATGCCCCGGCGCCAGGAAGCCGAGGGGATGCGGACGAAGGACGGCCGCCCGGCCCTGCTGGCCCAGGAGGAGCTGGAGGCGAAGCTGCCGGGCGGAGGGGTGGGCACAACGCACCGCTTCTCGGTGATGGCTCTTTCGCACTCGTGGGAGAGCCGCGAGATCCCGGATGTGGCCAGGTTCCAGCAGGGAGCCCCAGCTCAGTGGCTCAGGTTCGCAATCTGTAACTGTAAACTGTGTGCAGTAGCCATCCCTTTGTCTGATTTTGAAGAGACTGTTGTCACTTCCGCTGCAGCGCCTGAGGCTGCGAGTGCTGGTAGAAGCACTGGACACCTTCGCGAAGATCCTGCAGAAGATCGCCCCGGCCCAGAACCTCGCCAAGGACTGGGAGGCGCAACTGGGCACTGCTCGGAACACATTTTTTTTGCAAGGTAGGGAAGGTCATTTCGCATGTGCGAGTGGAGCCCTGAGATGCCCTGAGGCTCCCAAAAAGCTGCTCTTTGAAACGGCCCAGCTGAGAGCAGCTTGTTGCCTGCCGCCTCCACACCCCTAAGAAGCCTTTCAGATCATGGCTAGATGCATGTGAGTAAAGTGCAACGCCAAATGCGGACACGTGCCAGGCGGCCATCTTTGTGGATTACATGTCTCTGTACCAATTCCCAAGAACTGAAGAGCAGGATGGGCTTGGACAGGGCTGAGTGTAGAGTTGAGCCATGCGTCCTTTTTGTGCCATTTTCTGCGTTGCTTTCTCTTGAGGGGGGGGGGTTCGTGGGGACATGAGGGCCTGCGATGCCTACAGATGCGCTTCCGTCAGGACGTCTACTTCGCGAAGGGCATGGCCCACATGCACCTGTTGTACGCCCATGACACGACCTGGTCGCTAAGGATCGAGGACCTGACGCCGGGCCTCCACGACCGGCCCGGGCCCGAGCTGTCTGGGACCGCTAAGGTCTTTTACCTCCCCGACAACGCCGTGAAGGACGTGGCGCTGGCCGAACTGCGCGACACGGACGACCAGGGCAGCTGCGGCCCGGGATGCCACTTCGGCTGCCGCCCGCCCTGTCGGCAGCTGCACCGGAACAGCACGCCGTACCTGCAGCGCGGCTGGTGCAGGGCGGAGGTGCAGTGGTCACTGGCGCGGAAAGCCTCCTGGAAGAGCATCCGGATCCCCTTCCGCGAAGGCCGGAACTGCGAGGCGCCCATGGCGCCCTCGGAGTTCCGCGCCCAAGCGGAGAAGGGGACCCTGAAGTTCACCCACCGGTCGGACCTGGAGCCGGTGCTGCAGCTCCAGGCCAAGGTCTTTTACGAGAAGGCGGCCGAGGCCGCGCTGCTGAGTCTGGGGGAGCTGCCCGAAGCCCAGGTTCAGGTGCTGGCCCGGGCGCTGCCGCACTACGAGCGCCTGGAAAGGGTGGAAGTGGACAACAGCGAGCTGGCCGGCGAGGCCTTGCAGGCAGCGGAGCGCGCGCCCCTTGCAGAGCATGCCCCGAGCTTCCCTTCCCTTCAGAAAAATTGCCCTACACATCCTATAAAGCATCTTTTTTCTAAAGCTTATAAGTTCCTAAGAAAGCCCTATACAGCTTCCTTTTTTGTTCTCCCCGCGCCAGGCCCTGGTGCGCGCGCTGCCGTGGAGCCGCCTGCGGAAGCTGAGGCTGACGGACTCCGGCTTCGGAGACGCAGGGGCGAAGGTGGGGGTGCACCCGCTCTGCCTGCTCTGCCTGCTCTGCCCTCTCCCGAAGTGTGGCTGCCTCTCAAAAGTGGGGCGGTCGGGTTCTCTGCGGTGTCCTCCCCGATTTTTCGTGGCGCTTCTTGAGGGTATGAAAGATCCACAAGAAAGCAGGAAGCCCAAACCCTGTCACACCGACTCCGGAAGCTTTGAAGTCCAACATTTCAAATGGCTGGCGCGGGTCTTTCTGCCATTCGGGAGGGCGTGCCTTAAAGCAGGGGAAAGTGGGGGATAGGGCCTGTTGTAGACTGCACGACTCATTGCCAAATTTCGGGGGCTGAGGCTTGAAACGAAGATCGTTTCTTAAATTTTAGTCTGAAGATTTGCTGAAGCGTTGGGTTTTAAAAGTGGCGACTAGACTGCACAAACTTCTTGGAGCCCAAATAGGCTCGGCGCCCAGTCCCCACCTCTGTGTTAAAACGAACCCGGGGAATGGGAGGCGTGGGTGCTGGGCAAAGGAGAAAGTGCACAGAACGTGTTCAGGAGGCTCTTGTAGGCGGCAATTGGATGCATGTGGTCAGAGACAATTTCTATCGGGATTTGCTGCATGGAGCTTGCAAATACTCATCCAAAGCGTTTTGCCGTGATCGCACGGGAGGGCTGGAATATAAAGAGATCTGACTTCTTAAGAGACTGCATTTACACATTCTACGGGATGCAGGGTGCCGCTGTGGGCTTGCGTGTCCTGTCAAGATCTGACGTCGTGTGGAGGCCCTCGGGAGGTTTGAGACCCTCGATGATGAAGGGCCTAGGGGCAGCGTTTTCCACAACTTCACATCTTTGCAGCCCTGCCCCAGCGAGGCTCAGATCGGGACGGTGCAGAAACAGCGCGCGCAGGGGCGCAGCATGCCCCCGCTGGAAAATGCAAAAACAAGACTTTAGGAACTATAAACCCTAAAATAGATATGCCGGGTGGCTTGGGGTGGGCTTACCGCCGCGCGATGTTGCGAGCGACCCGGGCAGAGGGGCCGGTTATAAAAAATAAGGTGAGGCCCCGGATCCTAGCGAGCAACCCAGAACGACACCCTAAACCCTAAACCCTCAACCCAAACCCCAACCACACCACCCCACAGGGGGCGGGGGGGACCATGGGGGGGGTGGGGGGTGCAGCGACGCTGCACCATACATGTGCATGGATTTCCAGCAAGGAGGCGCGACATGTCACTGGAGAAAATGAAAAGCCAGCAACCCAAGTCGTCCATTCACGAGCAAACATGTGGACGGCCAAATCTAGCCAATCAGGCCATAACCCCCTTGAAAGGGCATCAGGACCTTGGGAGGGGCCACGCCAAAGCAAAACCTTACTCTAGTAAAGGTTGCCCTATAAAGTTCACCCGCATGTGAGAAATCCTTCCCTGGCAGATGGAGTCAGCAAACCGGAAGTGCCAAAAACCTCAGCACGAACTATTCAGGCCGATCACTTCGTGCCAAAATTGCATGTTACATCCAAAGTACGTTGGCCAGTTGCTCTGGAACACGCTATTGTCAAGCTCCCCCCACCCCACCACACATCGCTGTTGTTGAGCAGCACGTGGAACACGCTATTATCAACCCCCCCCCCCCCCACACCCCACTGTTGTCGAGAAGCGCGTCCTTTCCACCGCTCCTGTTGTTGAGCAGCACGTGGAACACGCTATTATCAAGCCCCCACCCCCCCCCCCCCCCCCACCACACCCAGCTGTTGTTGGGGAGCACGTGGAACACGCTATTATCAGCCCCCCCCCCCCCCCCTCCCACCCCACCTTCCCCAAAATCAAAACTCACTTGCGACTACAAAATAGTCACAAGTGAGCCACCCCCCAAAAAATAGACGCAAGTGAGTTGTTGACCCCTCTCGAGCGGGAGCTGCGCTTTTTGGAATTTATGGTCGTAAGTGAGCTTAAAAAAGTCAGAAGTGAGAAGATTTTATAGTCACAAGTGAGAAAAAACAGTCACAAGTGAGAAGATTTTATGGTCACAAATGAGGGGTTGGCCCCCCTTAAGGATCGAAAATATAAGATCTTGCCCACTGAAGTACTTTCGCAATTCCAATACTCGTCCTGCGCCAAGCACATATAATTTGCAATACATATCTTACGGCCATGAGCTTTCAATCTCCTTTCCTCTGTATGCATTTTATGCGAATAGAAAGATGTCGGTACTCTACGCCCCTTTGTTGGCCTGCATGCGCGAGCCCGTGGGGGAGGGGGGGTTGCCTTGGGTTTCAGCAAGGACTTTCCCACTTTGTGGGAGGGTTCTACAACTACGCCAAGCCTAGGAAACAGAACTTGGCTATCCTATAGAATCCCCGGGTACTGGCCCGGCCAGCCCATGATGCCTACACCGTTTCCAAAAGACAAAGAGTCCTATAGATTCGGTCGCCTGCGCGAGGCGCTTGGAGCTGGTCTGGGCGGCCACTCCTCGCTGCGGGTGCTGTGGCTCTACGGCAATCGCATCGGCGACAGCGGCCTCCAGGCCTTGGGAGGGGGAAAAGGTTCGGAGTCGGCAGGCCCTGAAGACATTTTGGACATCCGGCTGCGTGATGGCAAGTTGCAAGTTTCAAGGCCGAAGGTGCACTTCTGCGTGTGCGCAGGCCATCGCCGAGGGCCTGGCAGACCACAAGGGCCTACGAGAACTAAGCCTGGACAACAACGGCTTCGGCGATGCGGGGATGCAGGCCTGGAGTTGATCAAGTTGGGATTTGTTCGGTGCAGGTGCACTGCCTGTTCCGTCTTAAGTGCGTACAAAAAACATTTCAAGCGGAGTAGAGCCTCGGACTGTGACGAGTCAAAGTCCGGGACATGGCCCTCCCAACTTCCAAGACCCGTTTGGCGCAAGTTTTCCCTTAGCTTGGGCCTCGCTCTCCCTAAGCTTCCTTGTGTGTGGAGGCCCTGGGAGACGCACTGAAAGCTCTCCCGAACATCGAGGACGCCAGTTGCCAGTCTCCGCCGGAAAGTTTGTAAAGGTCGCCGGGGAGCTCTGCTTGGGCATGCTATTCGGGTTTGACTGATCAAATGTGAAGGGTAGCTCACAAACCCTGAAGCAAGGACAATTCCTTAAATAGCTCTAGGGTTCCTCCAAACCCTATAAAGCCCTGAACCCTAAAGCGCGAGTTGAAGGAATCTTCCCCCCCGAAGTTTGAAAGGGATCTTGGAGCCTGTCGAAGCTGTGGGTTCATGGGCTGCCTAGCCCCGCTTCCTCATCGGTTTAGGGCTTCGGGATGTTTAGGGTTTCTGGCTAAGAGGGCCCCATAAGGAGCTTCCAGTGCAAAGCATGGTGTATCACAACGACAACGATAGTTTTTAACCGCGGTCGGTCAGCTTGCAAGGCATCTTGGAAGGACATGGCGGCATAGCTTGTGCATAGTCATCACGTCTGTTGACTTCATTAGAAACTTGAAAAACTCAAGGCGGTGCAGTGCGAGATATCTGCCCCGAAGCCTCGATCTGAATCGCCCCAAAGCTGAAGCCCAGGGTAGCAGCAAGCCTCAAAATCGCCGTGCGGCCGCCTCTTCTCTGAGCTTGCATGCCGCAAGTCCGCATTCCTACGAGCCCAAACCGGCGAAGGAGCTGAGCTTGTCCGAGAACGCTATCGGAGACGCTGGAGCCCAGGCTGGGCCGCTGTGGAAATATCACAGAAGACTTCTTAAGCGAGCGCGTTTTGTGAAGCCCTGCGGGCTGTAGAGGCGGACATCAGCTTTCCGCATAGACAGTACTGAAGTACTGAAGTTAAGTAGCATTGATACAGACCTCGGAGCTTCCAAATCGAATCTGGCGGGGGACTTGGTCTCATTTGATGTTGTGCTTTTGTCTGAGCCGAGGCAAGATAGACCAAGCCCAGTGTTTGAACACCTACACTGTCAAGCCTGCGCCAGTCCCAACGAAACTCATGATGCGCTCCAGCACGAAACCGATGCCGAGCACCTTCCAGCCAGACATCTCAGTTCTGGCAGTTTCTATTTGGGGTTAGAGGCTTCAAGAGTGGGCAGGCCCCAAGGTCCGAGAGTCGGGGAGGAGGGCTGTGTATTCTGTTGGCAAAAGCAGCGCAGGAGGGGGTTGGGAAACCTGGGCTTAGGTCTGTGCCCTGTAGACAGATCTTAACGACAAGACACCACTTCACTCCCTTTTCAAAGACCCAAGGGCAACTTGAAAACGCTGCTGGCCTCCAAGACGTATCTAAATCGTTTCCCCTCGTCAGGGATGGTGGAGGGAGGTTGCTCCATGGTCCGTGTACTTCCTGTAGTGGTGCACTGTTCCGCCCGCCCCCCATTCATGCTCGTGTTGTTATGTCGTTATTGTGTTTTCGTCTTTTGGCGACTTTTGGTTTCGCAGCCGGGCGAGGATAAGCCAAGCCCAGGGCCACTGAACTCCGACGCGTTCAAGCGCCAACCACGGCACCAGCCATGCTCATCCTCCGTCTCAGTTGCGGCGGCTTCTCAATGGGGCTACTGGTTTCAGGAGGAGGCCTATATAGGCTCATCTCCCAGAAAGAACGGCGTACAAGTTTGTTCTACAAACTTCGGAGGCCTTGCCAAACTCTCAGATGCTGAGAGTCAGCGCCAGCACGTGAGGAACCCTATTCTGGCAGATGGAGCCATGCACTGCACCGCAAATTCGAGATGCTGCAGTCCAATCACCTCATGCTCAGAGAGCCTGATTGTTTTGCAAGCGCAGGCCCGCAGACTCGTCCACCTCCGCACAGCAACGTGCAAACAATATCAAACGATCCGCCATTTCGTTCACGGGAGATTCTAGGAACATTATGGTCTCGCCGCGGCACCAGCGAGAACCTTCAATGTCCGAAACGTCTGCCACATGCCGCCACTATGTCTGAAACACGCTGAAGTGGCCCAGAAACCTGCTTTTCAAGAAGGTCACCTTTTCTCCCATTTCATGAAGATGGGCTTCGGCGGCTGGCTGCTGTTCTCGGGGGTGGAGGGAACTCGCCAAAGTGCGTTTGTTTTCGACGTGACTGGAAACACTGAGATAGCTGCAAGCTGCATTCACATACCTACACCACACTCGGCTTCAGGACATGCTGTTGATTGCAGCACCGGCAACCCCGTAAGAGATCCACAATTATAAGAACACCAAGGTATCTGCAATACCCTTTCTTGTCCGACAACCCCCTAAGAGGCGAAGCTATCTGCAATACCCTTGCTTCGCACCGACAACCCCCTTAAGGATCAAAAATATCAGATCTTGCCCACTCAAGTACTTTCGCAATTGCAATACTCGTCCTGCGCCAAGCATAACGTGCAATACATATAGTTTCTTACGGCCATGAACTTTCAGCCTCCTTTCCTCTGGGAGACCCTGCGAAGAGGATATGCCTGCGGTTTCAGCAAGGACTTTCCCACTTTCTGGGAGGGTTCTACAACTACGCCAAGCCTAGGAAACAGAACTTGGCTATCCTATAGAATCCCCGGATAAGGGTACTTGCCCGGCCAGGCCATGATGCCTACACCGTTTCCAAAAGACGAAGAGTCCTATACATTCGGTCGCCTGCGCGAGGCGCTTGGAGCTGGTCTGGGCGGCCACTCCTCGCTGCGGGTGCTGTGGCTCTACGGCAATCGCATCGGCGACAGCGGCCTCCAGGCCTTGGGAGGGGGGAAAGGTTTGGAGTCGGTACTGTATAGGCCCTGACGCTGTTTTGGACATCCGGCGACGTGATGGCCAGATTGAGGGCCGAAGGTGCACTTCTGCAAGGTGGCCTGTCCCCATGCAGGCCATCGCCGAGGGCCTCGCAGACCAGAAGTTCCTACGAGAACTCGGCCTGGGCAAGAACGGCTTCGGCGATGCGGGGACGCAGGCCTGGAGTTGATCAAGTTGGGATCTTTGGTTTGTCCTCCCGAACTTCAGCAGATGCACTGCCTGTTCCGTCTTAGAAGTGTTTAGTATTTTCATGAAGGGTCCTTTGGAGAGACTCGGACTGTGAAGCGAGAAAGTCTTCCAAGGGGCGTTCGGCATTTGGCGCAAGTTTTCTGGGCATGGGCCTCACTCTCCCCAACTTCTCTCGAGTCTAGAGGCCCTGGGAGCCGCGCCGAAGGATCTGCAGTGTTTTCTCTTTTGGCGACTTCTGGTTTCTGGGCCCGGCAGCTGGGCCAGGATAAACCAAGCCCAGGGCCCCCGAACTCCGACGTGCTCAAGCACCAATCACGGCGCCAATCATGACGAAGCAGCAAAACACACAGGACAAACCTGTCATTCAGTTGTGACGGCTTGTCAATGGGGCTCGGGGGATCAGGAAGACGCTCTTTAGGCTCATCGGCACAGCCAAAACAAGTTCACAGAACCTGCATGAAAGCCCTCGCCCTCGGTATCAGCCATCGATTATCCTTCAGCCCACACAGTGACACAGTCCACAAACACTTTCCTTATCGTAAATGCACCCCTGGTCCTAAGTCTGGGGGATGCGGAGGGCTCAATGGGGCAGCTTCGGCAGGCTCTCGCTGCTGGCCTGGGCGGACACGCGTCCTTGCAGAAGCTGATGCTCTACGGAAACCGCATTGGCGACGCTGGCATCAAGGCTTGGCACGGGGATTCCTGTGCGCGGATGGTTTAAGGTGTGGGCTGCCAGTCAGTTCATTTGGATTGTACGGTTTTTTTTGTGGAAAGAGAGCAAGTCCATGCAGCGCATGTTGCTGGCGGCGTGGGCGCGTGGAGCGAGGCCCTGGCCAGCGCGCTGCGGCCACATGCGAAGCTCAGCGACTTGAGGGTGTTCAGCAACTCCATCACAGATGCCGGGCTCCAGGCATCGTCTCGATCTGCAACTTGTAGATGTGATTTGTTCTTCTGCCTCCTGCTTCAGTACCGAAGAAAATTTTCTTCGCGAACATGAGAAGATTGATATGAACCCCAGCGGCGAACTCCAAGTGGGCCAGGTGAGCATGCTGTCCAAACGTGCATGGAAAACAGAAAGTAGCAACTGGGGAGGCCCTTGCCAGACACCATTTTTTCGGCATCGAGTTTGCGCCCTCTAAATCAACAGATCATTCAGTAGGAACCTCCAAAGAGTTCCCATCGAAGTCGATTTTATTGGAAACTAGCAAACAGCATGCTGCGGCAGCTGCATGGGATTGGGACGACGAATCTAAATGTTCTAAATCTAAGTTTTGGGAAGTGGGCTTGCGTCGTACGCCAGGCCCTGGCCGAAGTCCTCCAGCACCTCTCGCAGATGCAGGTGGTGTTTGCCATGATGAATTGCAGCCCTGCACAAAGCCTCATGATGGATGGAGTGGAATGTGCTTGTCATGCCCTGTGCAGGTGTGCAGTTCGCATTGTGTATTCCAGTGAGCAGGTAGTGACTAAGTAGTGTATGAGATAGATACTGGTATTGTTTTGGGAACTGCACAGTATCTCGGCCTGCGCGACAACAACTTCGGCGATGATGGCACGAAGGCCGACGTTGGCATTGTTTGCTCCATTGTTTACGAACCCCCACAACCTTTGCGGTGTTTTATCCTTTCACTTTTGCGCCTGGAAAGAAAGTCCAGGAGTGAAACGCACGAGGAAGCTTTCTGTGATTAAGTTTGCACAGGTGAGGACGGTGAGGGGATTCTGAAGAAGTATGTGTGGGAAGGCGGAGCATTGTTCTTTGGAGTTCTCAAAGGCATGTTGCAGCAAGCCGGCCTGTTGCAGTATTCTCGGGAATCGGTGCACAGCTCCACGCTGAGAATCTTTGTTAAGATGGTGAGGTTCGGCTTGGCCTATTTTGGGTTCACTGTTGGTGACAGCTCAATCAGTGAGACATGAATCGTATTGGTGAAAGGGTATAGCCAGCCCATATCAATTGTTCAATGCCTGGGGCAGGACTTGTGTGCAAATGTCTAGCTCTGTTCGGCGGGATACCAGGCGGACTAAGCTGCTCGCATGACTCGTTAGCGCAGACTCGCTGCCAATGAAGTGCTGCGAGAACAAGAGGGTGTAGCTCGTAGACGGTGCCCGGCCAGCAGTTTGGCTCCACAGCCCTGGCCCAGAAGCTTAAAGAAGCGACGTGCCTCGGACTCACCAGAGTGTTGCCGAGCTCCCTTGTCATTGCACAGGCCTTGGCTGGTGTCCTGCCGCGACTGCTGAAGTTGACCACGCTGACCCTGAGTCAGAATCGCGTCAGCGATGCGGGAGCCGAGGTGCGGGGTTTGCATGGCTTTGTCCCTTTTTGCTGTCCGGCTTGCGTTTTTTCTCAACGTTTGGGACAGTTTGGGGCTGTTGAACTTGGAGGTCTGGGACCTCAAGAGGTTTTGAAGGCCACGCAGCGAATCTAAAGCAGCAGAAGTTGCGATGGCCTCGCTCGCTCACTCGCTGTCTCTCTCTCTCTCTCTCTCTCTCGCTCTCGCTCTCGCTGTCTTTCTCTGTCACGCCTCAGCAACAAGCCGCGCTGCAGGCACTGGTCCACGGCCTCCGCGACAACAGGGAGCTCAAAATGCTCTGGCTCCACGAGAATTCCCTCAGCGACGCCGGCGTGGAGGTCAGGAAAGCCGGGTTTGGAAGTGTTCCAACTCCTTCAGCTTGATGTTTTCTGTGGAAGCTTTGCATCTTTTTTGGGCTTGTTCTATATAAGTCATGGGTTCTTTTTTGGGCTCTTATATCGCAGGCTGCTTTAGGGTATTCAAATGGGACCTCTCATCTACAGCAACCTCCGGTCACAGCGCCTAATTCTGAGATCCTTCACTGGCAATGTTCAGGCACAGGTTGCTGGCCCCGATGCATGTCAGGACGTTGCGAACACGGTCGGGTTCGCTCATATGGCTGGGTAGGTATTTTTGCTGCTGCTATACGGAACACACAGTGTGGCAAAAAGAAAATTCATTCCCTCCTTTCTAAGCACCACAGAAATCTCGATGATGCAGGCAGTCGCCGCTGCCTTCCGGGATCGCACCATGGAAGATCTGAAGCTCCGCCCGCAGTTCTAGGAGCGTTGTGGGCTCCACAAGATTGCCAAGATCCTCTGCTGTGGAACAATCTAAGCAAGATCTTTCTGTGTGTAAGAGTATCTTACTTTGAATAATGGGTTGCAAGGGGGCCAACTTATAAGACAAAGCCAAGACACTGCGAATGCCCAGCGCTCGAATAATTCTGCATCCTTTTGCCCTCCGAAGAGAGGCCAAACGACCATCCTCGGGCCCAGCTCCGGGGAAAGGTCTCCCATAGAGCCAAGTGTTTTGTTTAGGGGCTTTTTAGGGCTTGCAAATATCGGCTTAGGGTTTGTTTAGGGTTTATTTAGGGCTTATTTAGGGTTTATGTAGGCTTGTAAATATCGGCTTAGGGTGTTTATTTAGGGTTTCTAGGTTTAGGGTTGTTTCGAGTTTCGAGCGACGCCAAGCGCTGTTGTGGTTTTCGAAGAATCCAAAGAGGCCCTGAGGAGCTGATGGCCCTGGAAAAGGACCCTTTAGGTTTTAGGGTTTATAGGGTAGGGCTTGGGGCTTAGGGCTTATAGGGCTTATAGGGTTTAGGGTTCAGGGTTTAAGGTTTAAAGAGTTTAGGGTTTAAAGAGTTTAGGGTTTAGGGTTTAGGGTTTTGGGTTCAGGGTTGAAAAGAGTCATGATCGAAGAAGAGGCCCCCCGGCAGAGGCCACGGAGGCTTGGCCGAACAAAAGCCACAAAGTGGCGCAGACGTGCCTCTTGGTGGGTTTGGCTTCGGAGCCGGAAGCTGTTGGAATAAAAACCACAAGGGGAGACCGCAGCCCCGACAATTCGGGGTGTGGGTGGGACATTTGCTTTTCCCTCGGGGATGCGGTCTCCCGGCTCGCTTTGCGTCTACTGTGCAAGAGCTCCGAGCAAACCCGCCCCAAGGAATCTCCCAAACCTCTGGGAGATGCTCCTCCATGACTACGCTTAATTAGTTGGTAGCCGGCCTGCAATATGCAACTATGTCTCACCATGTCTCACCCAAGCAGAAGACTTTCAAAGCTAACGTGCCCCCGTGCCTGTCAAAAGGCCTTGGCCATGGGAGTGGGATCTTAACTCATGCGGGCGGACGTCCGGCGCTTGGGAGGAATTGCTTCTGGCACTTAGAGACAAGATTGCAGGTAGATGTAACTTTTCCAAGCCTCCAACTTCCATGCTTGTGGATTCCATGGGAGTGGGATCTTAACTCCTGCAGGCGGGCGCTTCTGGCACTTAGACAGGATGGCAGGCAGATGAGATGTAGCTTTTCCAAGAAGCCTCGAACTTCCATGCTTGTGGATTCGTCTGTGGTTCCACCAGCCATCAAGGGTCAACTGAAGTAGAGACACTGGACACGACACGGAAGCTCTAGAAGGAACGATGTGAACAGAGGCCAGGAACTGGTAGCTTCAACACCATCACAGAGTAGCTTCGGGACCACGCCGTGACCTAAGGTTACGTGCAGACCTAGCCCCACCACCTTGGTTTATATTCTGTACAAGCCCACTTCACATACACCGCAAATTAGACGAGCATGCAGAATGGCCTTTCGAGTGTCGTATGGTGCCAGACACAGCCTCTGCCGCTGGCGCCTCCCGGGTTTGTGATGATCCCAGGAGATGGGTGCCAAAAAGCCTTTCCTTTTAAATTTCCGGGGGCTTAAAAGGGTTGCTTCAGGGGCCCAAGGCTGTGAGCACACAGGCTTTGCAGGGCTTATGGGGTTCATTGTAAAATGTTAGGACGGGCCGTTTGTTAAAACGATCAGAAAACCCGCAGCAAATGTCACCACAGCAAGACGTACTCTGCTCGTAATTGTAGCCCCAGTCAGACACCTGCCCCGTTCTCCCCGAGGAGATGTTTTGCAGACGACGGGGGAGGCCCTCGGAGGTGCCGCCGGGTTAAGTCCGCAAGCCTTGCGCCTGGGCTCAATGAAAGGCTTTAAAGGCCTTAGGGGCGAGTCACATAATGTTGACAAGCATGGTTGAGGCAAGATGCATGAGCTTCCGAGGTGCAGCTGGAACCAGAGCGGCAAGGACGTCGAGTTTGCCTTAATGTGCCTCGGCAGGGTCTTGGGGTGAAACGATTCATCGCAGCATTGCGCGGAACACCACTTGGGGGTCTTCTTTTGATTTTGGAGTCGGCTCAAGATACCGCTCGCACCAGGCTTCTTTGCAGAAAGTACCCCGAAAAGCAGCCCCTTGCTTCACAAATCACCCCGTGCTGAAACCCCCCCCGCGCTCATGTGATCCCGAAGGGACGAGGGAGCCTTCGTGGGGGCGGGGGGGGGGGGAGGGGGCAGGGGCAGTACAGGGAGTTGTTCGGAGGTACGATGCCAAAATCCTAAACTCCGCCCTTTAAGCCCTACAAGCCGTAAGCCAAAGAAGCAAGCCCAGGTCCGTGGGGTGCCCTTTCGCGCTTTCGACTCTTATGATTGCCCAAACGTGGGCCTGATCTGCCTGGACGTCAAGGACGAGCCGGATGACATCCGCGCCTGGTCGAGGCGCGCAGTAGAAAAGCCTTGGGCGAAACGTGTTTCGTCGAACTCTTGCAGATTTGAAGAGGAAGGGGGCATGGAGTCAGTGTGGAACGACGGAAAGTGTTGGAACACAGTCAGAGTGAGATGGTAATGAACAATCAAAATGCTAGGTGCAGACAAACTGGAACAAGTGTCGTGATCATCCACACTCCAGGGATCCCCCCCGCCCCCCCCGGCGAAGGTGAAATTCAAGGTTCGTAAGACGAAGTACGATGGGAAGGTGGGGAGGAAGTGTAGGGAGGGGGTCGACTCCCTGCTGAGACCTAAACCCTAAATCCCTGCACCCGAATCATCATCAACTCCTCCAAGTCCCCTTAAACCCCAAGCCCAAGCCCAAGAAGCGAGCCCAGGTCGGTGGCGCCCCTTTTTGTGGGTCGACGCTGATGTGCATGATCTGCCGGGCCGTCAAGGGAGAGCCGGTCAAGGCGCACGGTAGGAAGCCTTGGGCCTTGGGAGAAGCATTTCTTCAATTTCACATATTTACATTATTTTCAGGTGGAGGAAGGAGCGTGGAATGCCTAGGTTTCCATCCGGGAGTTTCCACCAATCTACAAGTCCTTGGGTGCATCGGGGAGCCTGAGGATCCCAGCACTTTCCTCGAAGCCCCAAACCTTCGTTGAAGGGAAGGAAGCTAAGGAACCCTTCGAACCAGGAAAGCCCTCCCAAGCCACTCAACCCCCTCCGAGCCACCTTGAGTTGAGTAAGGGAAGGATGGGGCTCTCTGCTTGGCCAGGATCCGAGCGTCTGAGAAGTAGACCTCAAGTGCAGAACAATTTGATCTAACATTGGTGCTGTTGTTTTCCAGCTTCATGGGACTCGTGTACATGTGTCACCACTAGGACACATGGGCACATTCTGCAACATGAGTGTTTGGTGAAAAGACGCCGACCAGCAACAAGTAGAGCAAGTTTGGGTACCATCAAACAGCTCCCAATGCAGCGGATCCTGCTGCAGGTGGTTTCGACGCTTGCCGAGAACCATCATTGCATCGAGTCGATGATTTCAGACACCCAAGGCCCAAACGAGGCCAGTGGCAGTTGGCGTGAAGCCGCTTGCAGGTGCTGCCAGGAACCTCCGTAGTAGTACATAAGCGTGGCTGGAGGCATTCAGCCTGTTCGCAGCGCGTCTTACTGTTTAAATGCATGGCCGGGATGACCTTCCTTGAACAGTTGGCACAAAGACACTTGCAGGTGCTTAAAAGTGCACCTGCGCATTCCCGCTGCTGGAGTCTAGCCGATCTGCTCGCTCAAGCTCTATAAGTCCCCCCGAGGACCTAGGCTGGAGCCAACTAGTCTGTTTGTACTGCGTGGCAACTGTTTAATGCACGGCCGGGATGACCCTTGAAGTGGAGTTTTGAGCTGCCGCAGCCACCTCTCACATTTTGCACATGCATCTCTAGACACATCTGGGCCGTACCAGCTTGGCGGATCGTGTGAAGAAGGGCAACGCTTGAGAGGTGTCGCGCCATGGCATCGTCTTGTCAATGTAAAACTGGTCGGACTGCGTGCTGCAGGCAGCATCCGAGCACAAATGCAAAAGAACGACCGAGCGCTTGCAAAGCCTTCTTGGAGAAAATAAACCCGACCGGCTCGTGACTTAACATATGAGTTGCAGCTCAGGGTCCGATCACTTAGTCCTTGTCCTTTAAACGCTGCTCAACACCTCATTCACCATTTTTGAGACGCAGCTGGGCTGTCTTCATCAAATCTGTGCCTGTCGGGACTACTGTTGCGCCTTGTTCGCCGTGAACACTTTCGATCTCAAGCGCACGGAATAGTTAAGCACGAAAAGGAAGCAGCAGCTTCAATGTCAGAACAAGATGACTTTACCATTGGTCCGTGAACATGTCCGGCGTGTTCTCACAGCTGCGTGGGTAGGCAGTCAAGTAGAGCAAGAGGGGGAACGTGGAAAGAAGCATTCCTTCTACATCTAAGTCATATACGTGGGCATCCCATCTCTCAGAAGCTTTCGGGTGAGCCAACGCCGATGGGGGCAGCTTGGACACAACTACGCTGCAGTTTCCCAGGGCCACCTTTTTTGTAAGAGAAGGACCCCCCCCCCCCCCCTCCCCCGCCCTTCTTGCATCGAGTGCACCCGCCATCCCGCGTCCTGGTTGGGTGGCCTTCTTTGCCCTGCCCCTTTAGTGGGGCCTCAGATGTGGGATTGCAGGCCCCCCAATCCCTGCATGAACCCCGGAAATCCTTACATATACCCTATATAAATCCCCATATACACCCCATATACATCCGTATACTCCCTATATAAACCCTATATAAACCCTAGAATCCCTGCATCAATCCTTCTACTACAAACTGCCCTTAGAATCGCGAAGCTTCGTCCCAGCGAGGCCCGCAGCCATGGTGGCTGTGGAGGAGCCCTGGAGATGAAACTGGCCACATGTGAGTTCATGGGTTCCCCTCCCCCCCTCTATACTACCACCATTTCGGGTTTAGGGTTTAGGGTTTAGGGATACAGCCCCTCCTAGGTTCCGCCCATACTGAAGCTAAGCACGCAAGCCCCCGTTCTTTCAATTAAGCGGAGATTCAAAAAACAAAATCGAAAAGTCAAAAAGTCGAAAAGTTTTCGACTTTTTGACTTTTCGGGACTTTTCGGGACTTTTCGGGACTTTTCGGGACTTTTCGGGACTTTTCGACTTTTCGGACTCCCCCCCCAACAAAAAAAACGAAAAGTCGAAAAGTCAAAAAGTCAAAAAGTCGAAAAGTGGAAAAGCCAAAAAAATTGAAACGCGTAACAGTCGGTAAAGCCCATCGAGAACTTGCGAGTCTGAAAGTCGAAACGTGAACGAGGGGGGGAGGGAGTGGACTGGATGCCTAAAGCGAGCAGAATGCAGCGGCTTGTGGTTGAGCAGGCATGTAGGCTACTGCTAGGTATGCCTAGAGCTCGGAGATGCTCCAATGACCGTGCGATACCGAAACACTTCTTGATAGACTGAGCTGATATTGGGGGCTTGACCTCCCGGTGCTGCATCCGTAAACCCCATACTCAGCTTGTTTGTACCCAAAAAGCCCTGTAAGTTGCATGTCACATGTTCGCGAATGCTGCAACGAGAGCAGGTGGACTGTTCCTCAAGTCCTTAACGGAAGCCAAAAGCCGAGGACCTTTGCACGCTCGTCCACCGAGGCGGGGCGCTTCATCGGTTCAGGGGCTTAAGAGTTAGGGATTTTGTAAATATAATTAGGGTTTTTATGGCTTGATAGTAGGTATTTGTATAATAGCATTTTTACGGCTTCATAGGGTTTTTGGTTTGCGGGGTTTTGGGCCTCTCCACGGGATTTGCACCGGCTCATGAGAACGTCGTCCCTTTGCTCACTACTTGACCAGGAACAATGTTGCGCTCCTCTTCTCCCTCCCCTGCCTCTGACCTTAAGATATTCGACCCACCACCGCATAGAGCCAGGCGCTCTCTCTCTCCCTCGCCCTCCCTCCCCCTCCCTCCCGCTCTCTCTCCCTCCCTCCCTCTCTCTCCCTCTCTCTCTCTCTCTCGCTGTCTCTCACTCGCTCGCTCTATCGGAGGAGTGAGCCTTCATTTGGGTGCCTCTCCGATGCTGGATCCGGATCGCGTGAGGCTCTTGAATCCAGCAAACAAAGAGAGCGCGGAGCTGCTTGGAGACCGCAGTTGAGAAGCAGTTGAGCGAGCTCTCGGCTGCCATGCCTGAAGCCCCACTCCAAAGACCCCATTCACCCCAAACCCTGCAAAACCCCAAACAACCCTAGAAACCCCCAAATGCCCCCAGAAACCGCTAGAAGCGCTGGCGTCGGCCCCCGCGCAGCGCCTTTTTTTGTTGGCTCTTCCAACAAAACCCGGCTCGTCCCGCAGCAGCCTTCGGACCATGGCACCTCTCCTTCAGGCGATGCAAGAAGGCACCTGAGCCGAAAGGGCCGTGCTGGGCTTCTAGGGTTCTGTACTTGGAAGTCTACTTAGAACCTACCTAGAAAGGACTTAGGGGGGCTCCATGTACAAGAAGGGGTTTAGAGGGTTCAGAGGTTTACAAGTGGGTACTTTGGGAAGGGCTTTAGGGTTTTAGGGCTAAGGTTTGTACAACTAAAGTGGAGACGCCGGGATAGATATGTACAAGACCAGGGCAGTACACTGATGGAGCTGGCTTGTAGAGGCATGTAGTGCTTACGACATATGCTGGCACAGGGCGCTCACGCGTGCAGCATGCCAGAAAGGGGGTTTTGCAGTGCGCGGAGTTCTCCTTCTTCCCCCAGGGTTCGCACCTTAGGGACTTCTGGGATTGAAGAGTTGCGTGCTTTTCTTGGGACAAAATCTGAGTGGAATGTCGGTTTGTGAGGAGCGCAGCAGCACATTGTCCTGAAGACCGTATACAGGTCTATCCCAACTGGCATAGCATCCCCAACTCCCCCCCCAATAAACCCCCAAGAGACAGATTCGATTGAAGGCTGCCCCTGTGGCAAGGCAGCATCAGGAACCCCAGGGTTTAGAAGTTCCTGCTCCTTGGGTTTCGGGTTTAGGGCACCTAAGCCCTGAAGATTGCATGTTCCCGTCTTGGGTCCAAGTCGTTGGGCTTGAGTAGGTCGTGTTTATAGAATAAAGGTTTATGCACGTTTCGTTTTTTTTTTGGCTTTAAAGGATCATGTGTATGGAATGTTTTCTTTATTCCAGGGACGTGCTCCCTTGTTGGGGTGCTTGGAAAGGTCATGTTCAAAAAAGAATTTGTCAGGGGCCGAAAAACCCGACAATCTCCAAAACCTGAACTCCCAACCGTACTCTCAATCGGGAGTCGACAGAGCTCGCCTAGGCTGCTGCTGTCCTGGCATTGGCGCTCTCTTCTGGAGATCTAGGCGTCAGTCCGAGGCCAGTGGAGCAGCGTCTCAAGTGGTTTATGCGAAGTTCCTACAGGGTTTGTAGGGCTTAGGCTGTTTAGGGACACTTCAGCAATTGGCGTGCCTCTAGGGCCTCTGAAGGGGGACAACAGAGACGCGCCTCAGCCTTCTCTTGGAGGTTTGTGGTAGCGAGTAACCCAAGTATTAACTGTACTTCGTACACCAATGATAACCCTATTCGGGTACTGCTTATAAGTGGGGTATAGCTACGCTTATAAAGGGTTGATAAGTATCCTGAACCTCCAAGCTTCTCATGGCTGGCCTACACCATCAGTTCGGTGGGATTCTGGTCACAAGGACAGACAGGCGATCCTTGTTTTTTGAAAGCTGCAGCGCGGGCCTGCGGTTGGTCCCCGTGCGCCCTTTAGCATGCACACCCTGTTCACTGTTCGGGCTGTTGAGCTCCATCCAGCCATCAATCTCAGACTTCCAGCACCAAGCTTTGGCTGCATTGCCCTCCGGCTCTGGCTCCCACGCGCACTAAGTCACTAAGTGATGCGCACCCGGGTTTGCAGATCCTGGGCATGTTTTGGGCCGTTGGTCCCATGTTAGAAGCGCTTCTCCAACCTCGGCTGTGTTCGCTGCCTATACCAGCCAAGAAAATCCTCTTGAGAGCCATGGGGCTCGAATTGTAGTCGCGACCGGCAGTTCTGGTTGACTCATGTTTCTGGACTGAGGCCGCCTCCAAGCGAACAGCATATACAAGTGGTCAGATCGCTTGCGCCCACACAGTGCCGGTGTTCCGGTGCAACTCGCAAAGCCCGATCCGGCCAGAGTTGCAGAGAAGGCCGTGTATACAGCCTGCACGTGGACATTCTGCGCGGTGGTGCCCAAACACTGAGTAGTTGTTGAGGCCTCGTGTATTCTTCTATTGCAAGAAGGCGTTGTGAGTGCTATATGTGCCTATTGGACTGAGGGTGCCTCCCAAAAGGCCAGACAATGGGTTATTACTTGTGTATTACGATGTTCACTTGTTCAGCGCCCACACAGTCCCGGTGTTCTGGTGGAGTGCAACACGCAAAGCCGGATCCGGCCAGAGTTGCAGAGAAGCTGGGTATACACCCTGTACCTTGAATTCTGCGCAGTGGTGCCCAGACACTGAGTGCTTGAGGCCTTGCAGTCTTCTATCGCAAATTTTGTCGTTGCAAGCGCGATGATTTCTTGCGTGCAGACTTGGCAGGCCCTGAGCCAGGCGGCAGGCCGGAAACTTGCTCAGGGCTCCGGGGCTCTTCGCAGCAGGGACCATTCGCACACGTATACAGGGCTATGAGCCTGAGTCAGCTGCTCATCGGCGTGTCATGTGGGACCCCGGAAGGATCTGGAGGTGGTGTGAGGGAGGAACCTCCCGCCGATCAACCTGCAGAGGCAGCTCCTTGGGCTTTGATGGTGAATGGAGGGAATGAAACATCACATGCCCTCTGAATCAAATGGCCAGTGGCAGATCCCAACAGTAGTAGCTCGACTTCGGTCCGTGATGTTTGAAGCCTCATTCACCTGTTTGATACCCTCCTGTTGGACTTCGGGGATGCGGGAGTCTTGGCAGCTTAGCATGAGCCACAGACGCCGAGGAAGCTGCTGAGGCCTCCGAGCCCGCCAAGGAGGACGAAGAGCGGTTTCCGTTATGGTGGGGGCGGTGCAGTATCGGGGATGTGTGCCATGTGTGCGCAAGTGGGTTGCAGAGAGCAGCTTTGGAGCCTCATAGGAGCCGGAGTCCAAAGCCGAGGCCACGCGGCTGCTCTTGCGGGTTCTTCCGCTCCGTTTCCGGGATCCTTTTCTGTGAGCCGAGGGATGGGCTCGGGTGCTGCAATGCATTGTTCTAATGTTTGCTCAGGCTTTGTGTAGTCTGCGATGCCCGGCAATTTGCTACTGTATGCCGTGTACTTGTCTGGGAGAGCCGCGACCAAGTCCCAAGGCTGCTTTTGCCAGAAATTTGAGAGCTTCCAATTCTAGCGCAAGTGTTCGTGTTCATGCTGGGCACGAAGCCCATTCGCCTCGGTAACAAGCGACTCAGTCTCCACAGATCATCACGAGACCGCTTCATGTCACACACTCTCGCACTTTGAGCACCCCAAGCTTGGCAAGCTCGCCGCGCCTGCACAGGCTGCGCAGGTAGCCATCTACAGCCTTCGGGACAAGAACGGCCTGCTGGCGTACTGCCGCGATGCCAAGGTGCGGCTCGTCCGCGCCGACTTCCTCCGGGAGCTCCTGGCCGAGGGCCGCACCATGCCCCGGCGCCAGGAAGCCGAGGGGATGCGGACCAAGGACGGCCGCCCGGCCCTGCTGGCACAGGAGGAGCTGGAGGCGAAGCTGCCAGGCGGCCAGGTGGGCTTCACCCACCGCTTCTCGGTCATGGCACTTTCGCACTCGTGGGAGAGCCGCGAGATCCCGGACGTGGCCAGGTTCCAGCAGGGAGCCCCAGCCCAGCGACACAGGTTCTCCTCGCAATCTGTTGACTGTGTCCCGTGTGCCTCGTTGTGGGCTTAAGTCCTGTAGAGAGACGAGCTCCTCTTTTGTCACTTCCGCTGCAGCGCCTGAGGCTGCGAGTGCTGGTAGAAGCACTGGACACCTTCGCGGAGATCCTGCAGAAGATCGCCCCGGCCCAGAACCTCGCCAAGGACTGGGAGGCGCAACTGGGCACTGCTCGGAACACATTTTTTTTTGCAAGGTAGGGAAGGTCATTTCGCATGTGCGAGTGGAGCCCTGAGATGCCCTGAGGCTCCCAAAAAGCTGCTCTTTGAAACGGCCCAGCTGAGAGCAGCTTGTTGCCTGCCGCCTCCACACCCCTAAGAAGCCTTTCAGATCATGGCTAGATGCATGTGAGTAAAGTGCAACGCCAAATGCGGACACGTGCCAGGCGGCCATCTTTGTGGATTACATGTCTCTGCACCAATTCCCAAGAACTGAAGAGCAGGATGGGCTTGGACAGGGCTGAGTGTAGTTGAGCCATGCGTCGTTTTTGTGCCATTTTCTGCGTTGCTTTCTGGTGAGGGGGCGGTTGGGGGGACATGAGGGCCTGCGATGCCTACAGATGCGCTTCCGTCAGGACGTCTACTTCGCGAAGGGCATGGCCAACATGCACCTGTTGTACGCCCATGACACGACCTGGTCGCTAAGGATCGAGGACCTGACGCCCGGCCTCCACGACCGGCCCGGGCCCGAGCTGTCCGGGACCGCTAAGGTCTTCTACCTCCCCGACGACGCCGTGACGGACGTGGCGCTGGCCGAGCTGCGGGACACCGACGAGACAGGCAGCTGCGGTGCGGGATGCCACTTCGGCTGCCGCCCGCCCTGCCCGCAGCTGCACCGGAACAGCACGCCGTACCTGCAGCGCGGGTGGTGCAGGGCGGAGGTGCAGTGGTCACTGGCTCGGACTGGCTCCTGGAGGAGCATCAGGATCCCCTTCCGCGAAGGCCGGAACTCAGAGGCGCCCATGGCGCCCGCGGAGTTCCGCGCCCAAGCGGAGAGGGGGACCCTGAAGTTCACCCACAGGTCGGACCTGGAGCCGGTGCTGCAGCTCCAGGCCAGGGTCTTCCGCGAGAAGGCGGCCGAGGCCACGCAGCTGTCTCTGGCGCACCTGCCCGAAGCCCAGGTCCAGGTGCTGGCCCACGCGCTGCCGCACTACGAGCGGCTGGAGCTGGTGACCGTGGACGACAGCGAGCTGGCCGGCGGGGCCTTCCAGGCAGGAGAGCCCGCGCCCCTGCAGAGCATGCCCCGAGCCTCCCTCATTTTCTGTAAGCACGAATAAGCCCTTTTCAGGCCCCTTCTTTTTGTTGGTCTGTTCGCGCCAGGCCCTGGTGCGGGCGCTGCCGTGGAGCCGCCTGCGGCAGCTGGAGCTGACGGACTCCGGCTTCGGAGACGCAGAGGCCGAGGTGGGGGCGCACCCGCTCCGCCTGCTCTGCCTCTCCCGAAGTGTGGCCGCCTCTCAAAAGTGGCGGGGTCGGGTTCTCTGCGGTGTCCTTCCCGATTTTCGTGGCGCTTCTTGAGGGTATGAAAGACCCACAAGAAAGCAGGAAGCCCAAGCCCTGTCACACCGACTCCGGAAGCTTTGAAGTCCAACATTTCAGATGGCTGGCGCGGGTCTTTCTGCCATTCGGGAGGGCGTGCCTTAAAGCAGGGGAAAGTGGGGCATAGGGCCTTTTGTAGACTGCACGACTCATTGCCAAATTTCGGCGGCTGAGCCTTGAAACGAAGATCGTGTTTTAAATTTTAATCTGAAGATTTGCTGAAGCGTTGGGTTTTAAAAGTGGCGGCTAGACTGGACAAACTTCTTGGAGCCCAAATAGGTTCGGCGCCCAGTCCCCACCTCTTTTTAAAACGGGCCCGGGGGGTGAGAGGAGTGGGTGCTGGGCAAAGGAGAAAGTGCACAGAACGTGTTCAGGAGGCTCTTGTAGGCGGCATGTGGATGCATGTGGTCAGAGACGATTTCTATCGGATTTGCTGCATGGAGCTTGCAAATACTCATCCAAAGCGTTTTGCCGTGATCGCACGGGAGGGCTGGAATATAAAGAGATCTGACTTCTTAAGAGACTGCATTTACACATTCTCCGGGATGCAGGGTGCCGCTGTGGGCTTGCGTGTTCTGTCAAGATCTGACGTCGTGTGGAGGCCCTCGAAACGTTTGGGAGGGGGCTTTCCAGTGGCAGGAGCCAATCTCCCGCACAATTAAGTAATTGCAGAGTCTTGCAAAAACTCGGAATCAATGTAAACGACTGAGACAAGACACTGCTTCATGCCGAAAACTCGACAAGTTGCATCTAGACTCTCAGGGATGAGGCAGGTTGCTCCGTGGTCCGTGCACTTACTCACGCACCAACCGGTACTAAAAAGCAAAACGCACCGGAGGAAACTTTCATGCTGGTCCTCCATCTCAGTTGTGGCGGCTTCTCAATGGAGCTAGTGGCTGAGGAAGAGGTCTATAGACTTCAAACGATGGCAGCCCTTAGGGACCGCTGGCAAAAGCTGCGCACCTTGAATGGTCGGCGGCGAGGTTGCAGTAGGGTATGGGCATGGATTTCCAGCAAGGAGGCTGCGACATGTCACTGGAGAAAATGAAAGACCAGCGGCCCAGGTCGTCCATTCACGAGCAAACATGTGGACGGCCAAATCCAGGCCATAACCCCCTTGAAAGGCTCGAGCCGTGCAGGAAGGCATCAGGACCTTGGGAGGGCCACGGGGAGAAGCCCGGACCAAGCTCCGCAGAGATGAGCCTCCGTCCATCTGCTAGAAATGCCAAAGCAAAACCTTAATCTAGTAAAGGTTGCCCCCGCATGTGAGAAATCCTTCCCTGGCAGATGGAGTCAGCAAACCGGAAGTGCCAAAAACCTCAGCACGATCACTTCGCGCCAAGAATGCATGTTACATCCAAAGTACGTTGGTCAGTTGCTCTGGAACACGCTGTTGTTGAGCAGCACGTGGAACACCCTATTATCAAGCCCCCACCCCCACCCCACCCCGCTGTTGTTGACGCTATTATCAGCCCCCCCCCCCCCCCAAACCCCACCACACCTCGCTGTTGTTGAGCAGCACGTGGAACACGCTATTGTCAAGCTGTTGTCGCACCCCCCTGTTGTTGAGCAGCACGTGGAACACGCTATTATTCGACGTGACTGCATCTGGAAAGACTTGAGATAGCTGCAAGCTGCATTCACATACCTACACCACACTCGGCTTCCGGATATGCTGTTGATTGCAGCACCGGCAACCCCGTAAGAGATCCACAATTCGAACACCAAGGTATCTGCAACACCCTTTCTTCTCCGCCAACCCCCTAAGAGGCGAGGCTATCTGCCACACCCTTGCTTCACCGACAACCCCCTTAAGGATCAAAAATATCAGATCTTGCCCATTGAAGTACTGTCACAATTCCAATACTCGTCCTGCGCCAAACATAACTTGCAATACATATAGTTTCTTACGGCCATGAACGTTTAACCTCCTTTCGTCTGTATGTATATTCTGCGAATAGAAAGATGTCGGTATGCCGCCAAGCCTAGGAAACAGAACTTGGCTATCCTATAGAATCCCCGGATAAGGGTACTTGCCCGGCCAGCCCATGATATCTGCACCGTTCCAAACGAAAACAAAGAGTCCTGTACATTCGCTCGCCTGCGGGAGGCGCTTGGAGCTGGTCTGGGCGGCCACTCCTCGCTGCGGCTGCTGTGGCTGTTCGGCAATCGCATCGGCGACAGCGGCCTCCAGGCCTTGGGAGGGGGAAAAGGTTTGGAGTCGGCAGGCCCTGAAGACATTTTGGACATCTGGCTGCGTGATGGCAAGTTGCAAGTTTCAAGGCCGAAGGTGCACTTCTGCGTGTGCGCAGGCCATCGCCGAGGGCCTGGCAGACCACAAGGGCCTACGAGACCTAAGCCTGGACAACAACGGCTTCGGCGATGCGGGGACGCAGGCCTGGGAGTGATCGAGGTAGGTTTTGTTTTTGTGTTTTTTTTGTGCAGGTTGGGATTTGTTGGTTTGCCCTCTGAACTTCAGCAGATATACTTCCGTCTTAAGTGTTTGTTGTTTTTATGCGGGGGTCCTTTGGAGAGACTCGGGCTGTGACGAGTCAAAGTCTTCCACGAGGCGTTCGGCATTAGGCGCAAGCTTTCTTGGGCCTCACTTTCCGTTGATCAAGTTGGTGCAGCTGCACTGCCTGTTCCGTCTTAAGTGTGTACAAAAAGCATTTCCCGCGGAGTCCTCATGAGAGACTCGGACTGTGACGAGTCACAGTCCGGGACATGGCCCTCCCAACTTCCAAGACCGTTTGGCGCAAGTTTTTCTTAGCTTGGGCCTCGCTCTCCCCAAACTTCCTCGTGTGCGGAGGCCCTGGGAGACGCACTGAAAGCTCTCCCGAACATCGAGGACGCCAGTTGCCAGTCTCCGCCGGGAAGTTTGTAAAGTGGCCAGGGAGCTTTGCTTGGGAGCGGCATGTTTTCGGGTTTGACTGATCAAATGTGAAGGGGCTGCCTAGACGCGCTTCCTCATCGGTTTAGGGCTTCGGGATGTTTAGGGTTTCTGGCTAAGAGGGTCCAATAAGGAGCTTCCGGTGCAAAGCATGGTGTATCACAACGACAACGGTAGTTTTTAACCGCGGTCGGTCAGCTTGCAAGGGGCATCTTGGAAGGATATGGCGGCATAGCTTGTGCATAGTCATCACGTCGGTTGGCCAAGGCGGTGCAGTGCGAGATATCTGCCCCGAAGCCTCGATCTGAAGCGCCCCAAAGCTGAAGCCCAGGGTAGCAGCAAGCCTCAAATCGCCGTGCGGCCGCATCTTCTCTGAGCTCTGAGATGCCACAACTACCAGCCCCGCCCGGCGAAGGATCTGAGGCTGGCGAATAACGCCATCGGAGACTCTGGCGCCCAGGCGGGGCCGCTGTGGAAATATCACAATTCTTAAGCGAGCCCGTTTTGTGAAGCCCTGCGGGCTGTAGAGGCAGACGTCAGCTTTCCGCATAGACAGTACTGAAGTTAGTAGCACGGATACACACCTCGGATCTTCCAAATCGAATCTGGCGGGGGACTTGGTCTCATTTGATGTTGTGCTTTTGTCTGAGCCGAGGCAAGATAGACCAAGCGGAGTGTTTGAACACCTACACTGTCAAGGCTACGCCAGTCCTAACGAAACTCATGATGCGCTCCAGCACGAAACCGATGCCGAGCACCTTCCAGCCAGACATCTCAGTTCTGGCAGTTTCTATTTGGGGTTAGAGGCTTCAAGAGTTGGCAGGCCCCAGGGTCCGAGAGTCGGGGAGAGGGCTGTGCTTTCTGTTGGCAAAAGCAGCGCAGGAGGGGGTTGGGAAGCCTAGTTGCTCCATGGTCCGTGTACGTCCTGTAGTGGTGCACTGTTCCGCCCGCGCCCCATTCATGCTCGTGGTGGTGCGTGGTCGTTGTGTTTGTCTCTTTTGACGACTTTTATTTTCTGAGCCCGGCAGCCGGGCCCAGGAAGATTACCAAGCCCAGGGCCCCTGAACTCCGACGCGCTCAAGCACCCACCACGGCACCAGCCAGTACGAAGCAGCAAAACGCACAGGACAAGCCTGTCATGCTGATCCTCCGTCTCAGTTGTGGCGGCTTCTCAATGGGGCTAAAGGTTTCAGGAGGAGGTCTAGGCTCATCTCCCAGAAAGAACGGCGTACAAGTTTGTTCTACAAACTTCGGAGGCCTTGTCAAACTCTCAACAGTTGCTGAATTTAAAGGGACCCGTGAGTCAGTGCCAGCACGTGAGGAATTCTGTCTATTTTGGCAGATGGAGCCATGGATACTGTAAATGAGAAATGCCGCAAGCCGAACTTTCGACATTCAGGCAAGTCACCTCATGCTAAGAGCGCCTGAAACATGCAAAGGGCTGGCTGCCTGTTCCGTCTTAAGTGTATTATTTTCCGGAGAGACTCGGACAGTGAAGAGTCAAAGTCTTCCAAGGGGTGTTCGGCATTTGGTGCAAGTTTTCTGGCAGCTGGGCCTCACTCTCCCCAACTTCTCTCGAGTCTAGAGGCCCTGGGAGCCGCGCCGACGGATCTGCAGTGTTTTTCTCTTTTGGCGACTTTTGGTTTCTGGGCCCGGCAGCCGGGCGCCTGAGACATCCAAAGAGCTGGCGTTAGTCAGTGCTCAAGCGAGTTTTTGTCCTCGGGAGCCAGTGCCACATGGGCGGCAAATGATGTGTGGGGAGTCCTGAGTGTCATTTTTGATGGTGCAGAGGGGGCGGGACTTGCAACGAACATCATGCAGGCTCGCAGGAGAAACTGCGGAAGCGTTGGCAGACAGGTCTGCAAAGGACCCCTCATCAGGATTGTTTTGAAGGCGGATGCAGGCGCAACGACTCGTCCACCTCCTCCGTGAGTCCTCCGTGCAATTTCCATGATCTTGTGCGTGACATGGAGTCCCAGCGCCTCGTCCACCTCCACACAGCAACGTGCAAACGATATCAAACGATCCGTCCGCCATTTCGTTCACGGGAGATTATAGAAACATTATGGTCTCGCCGCGGCACCAGCGCTACCCGGAACATGGAACCTTCAATGTCCGAAATGTCTGCCACATGCCGCGACTGTGTCTGAAACACGCTGAAGTGGCCCATAAACCTGCTTTTCGAGAAGGTCACCTTTTCTCCCATTTCATGAAGATGGGCTTCGGTGGCTGCCTGCCGTTCTTGGGGTCGGGGGGACTCGCCAAAGTGCGTTTGTTTTTGACGTGACTGCATCTGGAAAGACTTGAGATAGCTGCAAGCTGCATTCACATACCTACACACCACACTCGGCTTCCTATATACTGTTGATTGCAGCACAGGCAACGCCGTAAGAGATCGACAATTAGAACACCAAGATATCTGCAGTACTCTTTCTTGTCCGACAACCCCCTCGCCTCTATCTGCAATACCCTTGCTTCACCGACAACCCCCTTAAGGATCAAAAATATCAGATCTTGCCCATTGAAGTACTGTCACAATTCCAATACTCGTCCTGCGCCAAACATAACTTGCAATACATATAGTTTCTTACGGCCATGAACGTTTAACCTCCTTTGGTCTGTATGTATATTCTGCGAATAGAAAGATGTCGGTATGCCGCCAAGCCTAGGAAACAGAACTTGGCTATCCTATAGAATCCCCGGATAAGGGTACTTGCCCGGCCAGCCCATGATATCTGCACCGTTCCAAACGAAAACAAAGAGTCCTGTACATTCGCTCGCCTGCGGGAGGCGCTTGGAGCTGGTCTGGGCGGCCACTCCTCGCTGCGGCTGCTGTGGCTGTTCGGCAATCGCATCGGCGACAGCGGCCTCCAGGCCTTGGGAGGGGGAAAAGGTTTGGAGTCGGCAGGCCCTGAAGACATTTTGGACATCTGGCTGCGTGATGGCAAGTTGCAAGTTTCAAGGCCGAAGGTGCACTTCTGCGTGTGCGCAGGCCATCGCCGAGGGCCTGGCAGACCACAAGGGCCTACGAGACCTAAGCCTGGACAACAACGGCTTCGGCGATGCGGGGACGCAGGCCTGGGAGTGATCGAGGTAGGTTTTGTTTTTGTGTTTTTTTTGTGCAGGTTGGGATTTGTTGGTTTGCCCTCTGAACTTCAGCAGATATACTTCCGTCTTAAGTGTTTGTTGTTTTTATGCGGGGGTCCTTTGGAGAGACTCGGGCTGTGACGAGTCAAAGTCTTCCACGAGGCGTTCGGCATTAGGCGCAAGCTTTCTTGGGCCTCACTTTCCGTTGATCAAGTTGGTGCAGCTGCACTGCCTGTTCCGTCTTAAGTGTGTACAAAAAGCATTTCCCGCGGAGTCCTCATGAGAGACTCGGACTGTGACGAGTCACAGTCCGGGACATGGCCCTCCCAACTTCCAAGACCGTTTGGCGCAAGTTTTTCTTAGCTTGGGCCTCGCTCTCCCCAAACTTCCTCGTGTGCGGAGGCCCTGGGAGACGCACTGAAAGCTCTCCCGAACATCGAGGACCGCCAGTTGCCAGTCTCCGCCGGGAAGTTTGTAAAGGTGGTCGGGGGGCTCTGCTTGGGCATGCTTGTCGGGTTGACTGATCAAATGTGAAGAGTAGCTCAAAAACCCTTTACGCAAGGAACATTCCTTAAATAGCTCTAGGGTTCCTCCAAACCCTGTAAAGCCCTGAACCCTAAAGCGCGAGTTGAAGGAATCTCCCCCCGAAGTTTGAAAGGGATCTTGGAGCCTCTGTCGAAGCTGTGGGTTCATGGGCTGCCTAGCCGCGCTTCCTCATCGGTTTAGGGCTTCGGGATGTTTAGGGTTTCTGGCTAAGCGGGTCCAATAAGGAGCTTCCGGTGCAAAGCATGGTGTATCACAACGACAACGGTAGTTTTTAACCGCGGTCGGTCAGCTTGCAAGGCATCTCGGAAGGATATGGCGGCATAGCTTCTGCATAGTCATCACGTCTGTTGACTTCATTAAAAACACTCAAGGCGGTGCAGTGCGAGATATCTGCCCCGAAGCCTCGATCTGAATCGCCCCAAAGCTGAAGCCCAGGGTAGCAGCAAGCCTCAAATCGCCGTGCGGCCGCATCTTCTCTGAGCTCTGAGATGCCACAAGTTCGCATTCCTACAACCCCCTCCCGGCGAAGGAGCTGCAGCTGGCGAAGAACGCCATCGGAGACTCTGGAGCCCAGGCTGGGCCGCTGTGGAAGTATCACAGAAGACTTCTGAAGCGAGCCCGTTTTGTGAAGCCCTGCGGGCTGTAGAGGCAGACGTCAGCTTTCCGCATAGACAGTACTGAAGTTAGTAGCACGGATACACACCTCGGATCTTCCAAATCGAATCTGGCGGGGGACTTGCTCTCATTTGATGTTGTGCTTTTGTCTGAGCCGAGGCAAGATAGACCAAGCGGAGTGTTTGAACACCTACACTGTCAAGGCTACGCCAGTCCTAACGAAACTCATGATGCGCTCCAGCACGAAACCGATGCCGAGCACCTTCCAGCCAGACATCTCAGTTCTGGCAGTTTCTATTTGGGGTTAGAGGCTTCAAGAGTTGGCAGGCCCCAGGGTCCGAGAGTCGGGGAGTGTTGGCAAAAGCAGCGCAGGAGGGGGTTGGGAAGCCTAGTTGCTCCATGGTCCGTGTACGTCCTGTAGTGGTGCACTGTTCCGCCCGCGCCCCATTCATGCTCGTGGTGGTGCGTGGTCATTGTGTTTGTCTCTTTTGACGACTTTTATTTTCTGAGCCCGGCAGCCGGGCCCAGGAAGATTACCAAGCCCAGGGCCCCTGAACTCCGACGCGCTCAAGCACCCACCACGGCACCAGCCAGTACGAAGCAGCAAAACGCACAGGACAAGCCTGTCATGCTGATCCTCCGTCTCAGTTGTGGCGGCTTCTCAATGGGGCTAAAGGTTTCAGGAGGAGGTCTAGGCTCATCTCCCAGAAAGAACGGCGTACAAGTTTGTTCTACAAACTTCGGAGGCCTTGTCAAACTCTCAGATGCTGAGAGTCAGCGCCAGCACGTGAGGAATCCTATTCTGGCAGATGGAGCCATGCACTGCACCGCAACTTCGAGATGCTGCAGTCCAATCACCTCATGCTAAGAGAGCCTGGTTGTTTTGCAAGCGCAAGCCCGCAGACTCGTCCACCTCCGCGCAGCAACGTGCAAACAATATCAAACGATCCGCCATTTCGTTCACGGGAGATTCTAGAAACATTATGGTGTCGCCGCGGCACCAGCGATACCCGGGACATGGAACCTTCAATGTCCGAAACGTCTGCCACATGCCGCCACCCATTTCATGAAGATGGGCTTCGGTGGCTGGCTGCTGTTCTCGGGGGTGGAGGGAAACTCGCCAAAGTGCGTTTGTTTGCGACGTGACTGGAAACACTTGAGATAGCTGCAAGCTGCATTCACATACCTACACCACACTCGGCGTCTGGATATGCTGTTGATTGCAGCACCGGCAACCCCGTAAGAGATCCACAATTAGAACACCAAGGTATCTGCAATACCCTTTCTTGTCCGGCAACCCTCTAAGAGGCGAAGCTATCTGCAATACCCTTGCTTCGCACCGACAACCCCCTTAAGGATCAAAAATGTCAGATCTTGCCCATTGAAGTACTTGCACAATTCCAATACTCGTCCTGCGCCAAGAATAACTTGCAATACATATAGTTTCTTACGGCCATGAACTTTCAACCTCCTTTCCTCTGTATGTAGATTCTGCGAATAGAAAGATGTCGGTACTCTACGCCCCTTTGTTTGGCCTGCATGCGCGAGCCCGCGGGGGAGGGGGGTCGGGTGCGGGAGACCCTGCGAAGAGGAAATGCCTTGGGTTTCAGCAAGGACTTTCCCCATTTTGTGGGAGGGTTCTACAAACTACGTGCCGCCAAGCCTAGGAAACAGAACTTGGCTATCCTATAGAATCCCCGGATAAGGGTACTTGCCCGGCCAGGCCATGATGCCTACACCGTTTCCAAAAGACAAAGAGTCCACAGATTCGGTCGTCTGCGGGAGGCGCTTGGAGCTGGTCTGGGCGGCCACTCCTCGCTGCGGCTGCTGTGGCTGTTCGGCAATCGCATCGGCGACAGCGGCCTCCAGGCCTTGGGAGGGGGAAAAGGTTTGGAGTCGGTACTGTGTAGGCCCTGACGCTGTTTTGGACATCCGGCGACGTGATGGCAAGATTGAGGGCCGAAGGTGCGCTTCTGCAAGGTGGCCTGTCCCCATGCAGGCCATCGCCGAGGGCCTCGCAGACCACAAGGACCTACGAAAACTCAGTCTGGGCCAGAACGGCTTCGGCGATGCGGGGACGCAGGCCTGGAGTTGATCAAGTTGGGATTTGTTCGGTGCAGTTGCACTGCCTGTTCCCTCTTAAGTGCGTACAAAAAACATTTCTTGCGGAGTTATCCTGAGAGCCTCGGACTGTGACGAGTCAAAGTCCGGGACATGGCCCTCCCAACTTCCAAGACCTGCTCTCCCCAAACTTCCTCGTGTGCAGAGGCCCTGGGAGAAGCTCTGAAAGCTCTCCCGAACATCGAGGACTGCCAGTTGCCAGTCTCCGCCGGGGTTTGTAAAGGTCGCCGGGGGAGCTCTGCTTGGGAGCGGTATGCTATTCGGGTTTGACTGATCAAACGTGAAGGGTAGCTCAAAAACCCTTAAGCAAAGAAAATTCCTTAAATAGCTGTAGGATTCTCTCCAAACCCTATAAAGCCCTGAACCCTAAACACCGCGAGTTGAAGGAATCTTCCCCCCGGAAGTTTGAAAGGGATCTTGGAGCCTGTTGAAGCTGTGGGTTCATGGGCTGCCTAGCCGCGCTTCCTCATCGGTTTAGGGCTTTGGGATGTTTAGGGCTTAGGGTTTAGGCCTTATAGTGTCCAATAAGGAGCTTCCAGTTGAGGCACTTCCCTGAAGCTCGCTTGGTTTTGAGTCGCGTGGGATGTCGCGAAGGGTAGGCCGTCAGTCCCCGTTTGTCAGGGCGTTGCGAAGTTGATCCTGAGCCCCAGATTTGCCAAGCTGGACTGCACCAAATTGTCGCATGCCACATCAATCCATGGATCCAAGTATCCGAGTGTCCGATGTCGAGTGCCTAGCTTGCTTGAGTTTGAAGTTTGATCTGACAAGCTCGTGCATTTACCGACGGATGCACGCGTTGCATAGCATGGGGTCTCGCAAGGATGGCGGCATACCTCGTGCATAGGCGTCACGTCTGTTGACTTCATGAGAACAACACAAGGCGGTGCAGTTCTAGAGATATCTGCCTGAAGTCTCGATCTGAATCTGAATCGCACCAAAGCTGAAGCCTTTTCAGGGCAGCAGCAAGCCTCAAAAATCGCCGTGCGGCCGCATCTTCTCTGAGCTCTCATGCCACAAGTTCGCATTCCTACGAGCCCCTGGCGGCGAAGGAGCTGGCGCTGGGCGAGAATGCCATCGGAGACTCTGGAGCCCAGGCTGGGCCGCTGTGCAAATATCACAGAAGACGACTTAAGGGAGCGCGTTCTGTGAAGCCCTGCGGGCTGTATATAGAGGCAGACATCAGATTTCCGCATAGCCAGTACTGAAGTTAAGTAGCACTGATACAGACCTCGGATCTTCCAAATAGAGTCTAGCCAGGGGCTTGGTCTTGGTTTGATTCTGTGCTGTTGTCGTTTGGTGATTTCGGTTTCTGAGCCGAGCAAAGATAGGCCAAGCCCAGTTCCCCGAACTCCTACACCGTCAAGCCCACGCCAGTCCCAACGTAATTCCATGATGCGCTCCAACACCAAACCAATGCCGAGCACCTTCCAGCCAGACATCTCAGTTCTGGCAGTTTCTATTTGGGGTTAGGGGCTTCAAGAGTTGGCAGGCGGTAGGGTCCGAGAGTCGGGGAGAGGAGGGCTGTGCTTTCTGTTGGCAAAAGCAGCACTGGGCCGGTTGAAGCATCTTGAAAAGCTCATCTTTTACTTTGGTGGCTTCGGGGAGTGCGTCTGTGGGATGCAGGGATGCCTGGGTCTGTGCTCTTTAGACGGATCTTACCTCACCACATTCGGCTTCAGGATACACTGTTGACTACAACACCGGCAACCCCCAAATAATCGAACGTTATAAGACCAAGATATCTGCAATACCCTTTCTTCTCCGACAACTGTCGAATATTACCACCCAGATCACCCAGCTTCTCACCAACAGCCATGCACATATAACTTTCAATACATGTAATTTTATGCGGCCATAAACTTCCAACCTCCTTTCCTCCATATACGTATATTGCGTGAGAAGGAAAAATATCAGTACCCCACGCCTTGCGTTGGCCCGCATGCGTGAGCCCGGGGGGCAGGAGGGGGGGTTGGGTGCGAGGAGGATTTGTTTTGGGCCCTCAGCAAGGACTTTCCCGCTGCGTTCGGTGTTGCTACCGTGCTGACTCGGGGTGATTGGGGGTTCTGAGCTGGTCAGGCCAAGATTAGCCAGGCCTGGCTCCCCGACTGTGTTCGAGAAAGTTGCCCCATCAGTTTGCTCCCGAAGCAATTCAGCTGAACACTGCTGTCCACCGGCAGCTTTCGAGTTGGGAGGTTCAGGATCCAGCAGGGTTCCCCCGAGGGTGCTTCGGTTGTGCCCGGTGCAGGCGCTCGGAGCCGGCATCCAGGGCCACTCCGCGCTCCGACTGCTGTGGCTGCACGAGAACCGCATCGGCGACGCGGGCCTGCAGGCAGGGAGTCGGGGATTTTGGGAGGATTCGGGGGGAGGAGTAATTAGCCTGGGCATGAAGCGCGCCCCGTTTCTGGCCAGGCCATTGCCAAAGGCATAGCAGACCACAAGGGCCTGCAGGACCTGACCCTCTCCAGCAACGGCTTCGGCGATGTTGGGGCTGAGGCCTGGAGTGCTCAACTTAGGCTTCCTTCTGAGGGTTCAGGGCTCTGCGTTGAACGACGATGCACGACGAGATCAAAGCAGCATCATGCCACTCCTTCGGGATTCCTCAGCGACCACGCCGCAGGCATTGGTCCATGGCCTGCGTGCCAACAACGCGCTCGCGGAGCTCTGGCTTCACGAGAATTCACTCAGCGACAGCGGCGTGGAGGTCAGGAAAGCGGTTCAGGGAGGGCGCATTCCATGTCAACATGTTTGTGGGGCTTGTTCTGAATCATGGTCTCTTTTTGGGCTCTGATTATCGGATGCTGCCACTGCTGAGATCCTTCACTGGCAAAGTGGTTCAGGCACAGGTTGCTGGCCCAGATGCATGTCAAGAGACAACCGTCATTGTCAATATCACCATCATTCTCATTCTCATGTTCATGATCATGATGATGATGGTTGTCATTAGGAATAAACTGTCGTGGTTCTTTGTGAAAGGGTTACACAGATCATGATTGAACATTGCAACCATGTATCACTATCTTATCAGCACTACGACTTCTGTTGCTATAGAGACCGTGATCCATGCCCCTGCATCTGTGCGAATACCCGAAGAAAAACCCGAAGGTTGCTAAAACGCTGCGGCATGCAGGTATGGGTAGGTAAAGCCCTTGTGCGGTTTCTATACGCAGCCCTCACAATAGCAGAAGTGTTTTTACAGAAGAATCCCTATAAACTCCATTCCCTCACTATGAAGCACCACAGAAATGCGCATTTTGATGCAGGCAGTCGCCGCTGCCCTCCGGGATCGGGCCATGCAAGATCTTCAGCTCCATCCGCAAAGATCTTTCTGGGGGCTTGTATCTTCCATTAAGGATGTGTTCTTCAGAGGGTTTTAAAAGGGGCCAATCGAACAAGAGGCCCAGACATGGCGAATGCCCATAGCACTCGAGAAATCCAACCCTTTGCCCTTTCGAAGAGAGGCCGAAGGCCATAGGGTTTTAGGGTTTTAGGGTTTAGGGTTGACTAGAGTCATGACCGAAGAAGAGGCCCCTCGGTAGAGGCCGTGGAGGGCCTAGCAGGACAGATTCCACAAAGTGGTTCTTGGTGGGTTTGGCTTGGAGCCGGAAGCTGTTGAGAAAAAAACACAAGGGGAGACCGCAGCCCCGACAATTCGGGGTGTGGGCGGGACATTTTGCTTTTCCCTCGGGGATGCGGTCTCCCGGCTCGCGTCGCATCGACCCGTGCAAGAGCTCCGAACAAACCCGCCCCAAGGAATCTCCCAAACCTCTGGGAGATGCTCCTCCATGATTAGGCTTTAATTGGTTGGTAGTAGCCGGCTGCGATTATTGCAATTTACGTCTCACCATGTCTCATGTCTCACCCAAGCAAACGACTTTCAATGCTAACGTGCCCCGTGCCTGTCAAAAGGCCTTGCCAGGGGAGTGGGAGGTTAACTGATGCGGGCGGACGTCCGGCGCTCGGGAGGAACTGCTTCTGGCAGTTCGACAGGATAGTAGGTAGGTGAAAGGTAACTTTTCCACGAAGCCTCCAACTTCCGTGCTTGTGGATGCGTCTGTGATTCCACCAGCTATCAAGAGTCAGCTGGAATTGAGACAGTGGACACGAGATGGAAGCTGGAGAAGGAACGACGTGAACAGTGGCCAGGAACTGGTAGCTTCAGCACCATCACGGATTAGCTTCGATTAATGGTAGCTCGGGGACCACGCCGTGAGCTAAGGTTATACTTGCAGCAGACCTAGCCCCACCACCTGGGTTTTATTCTGCAACATAAATACCGCAAATCATGAAGCAAGTATGTTGCACGAGCATGCAGAATGGCCTTTAGAGTGTCGTATGGTGCCAGACGCAGCCTCTGCCGCTGGGCGCCTCCCGGGTTGGTGAGAATGATCCCAGGAGACGGGGGCGTCAGAAAAAGCCATCTCTTCTCATTCCGGTCCCCTAAAGGGGATTCTAGAAAAAGGGGTGCCCCTATTTTGGGAAATGCCCAGAAGAGGTGCCCGAGGCTGTGAGCACGTAGTGTTTGTAGGGCTTATGGGGTTTTCTTTTTAACATTTCATCATGGGTCGTTATTTTTTTCACGATCAGAAGGACCCCGCAGCAAGGTCACCACCTGTCACAGCAAGAGGTACCCTGCTTGTAATTGTAGTCTCGGAACAGTCAGAACCTGCCCTATTCTTTTCGAGGAGATGTTTTGCAGACGACTCGGGGAGGTCCTCCACCACGCGGTGGTCGCCGCCTCACCTCCGGAGGTGCCACCGGGTGAAGCCCGCAAGACTTGCGGCTTGGCTCAAGAAGGCTTTAAGGCCTTTAAGGATTCAAGGGGGCAATCACAAGAATGTTGACAAGCATAGCTGCGGCAGGATGTATAAGCTTCCGAGGCGCAGACAGCTGGAACAAGAGTGGCAAGGATGTCGAGTTTGCCCCAATGTGCCTTGGCAGGGTCTTGGGGTGAAGCGAAGAATCGCCGCATTGCATGGAACACCACGCGGGGGTCTTCTTTCAATTTTGGAGTCGACTCCGAGATACCGCTCGAACCAGGCTTCTTTGCAGAAAGTACCCCGAAAAGCAGCCCCTTGCTTCACAAATCACCCCGTGCTGAACCCCCCAGCATTCATGGGATTGCGAAGGGACGAGGGAGCCTTTGTGGGGGCGGGCGGGGGGGAGGGGGCAGGGGAGGGGAAGCATAGGGAGGTTGTTCGGAGGTACGATGCGAAAATCCTAAACCCCGCCCTTTAAGCCCTACAAACCGTAAGCCAAAGAAGCAAAGGTGGCCTTTCGCGCTTTCGACTCCTATGATTGCAAAAGCGTCGGCCTGATCTGCCTGGAAGTCAAGGACGAGCCGGATGACATCCGTGCCTGGTCGAGGCGCGCAGCAGAAAGACGTGGGCGTCTAATTGTTGCATATTTGGGAGGACGGGGCATGGAGTCAGTTTGGAACGCTGGAAGTGTCAGTTTGTGGAACAAGCAGTAGTGAAATGGTACTATCAACAAACCAAAATGGTAGGTGCAGACAAACTGGAACAAGTGGGCTGATCCTCCACACTCCAAGGATCCCCCCAGCGAAGGCCATATTTAGGGTTTGTAAGACGAAGTACGAGAAACCTTGGGACAGGGGGGGGAGCCCAAGAAGCGAGCCCAGGTCGGTGGCGCCCTTTTTGCTGGGTGCTCGACTCCGATGTGCATGATCTGCCTGGCCGTTAAGGGAGAGCCGGTCAAGGCACACACTGTCGGAAGCCTTGGGCGAAGCATTTCTACAACTTCACATGTTTTCCGGTGGAGGAAGGAGCGTGGGATGTCTGTAGATTTCTATCCGGGATCTTCCCCCAATCAACAAGTCCGAGGATCCCGAGGCTCTCCTCGAAGCCCCCCAAACCTTCAAGGGAAGGGCAGCTTTCCAAGGAGCCCTTCCAACCAGGAAAGCCCTCCCAAGACACCCAACGCCCCTCCGAACCATCCCTAACTGCTTTTCCCTTGAGTTGGCTAGGATCCGGGTGTCTGAGATGTAAGCCTCAAATGCAAAACAATATGGTAAAAATGCAAAATTGGTGCTGTTGTTTTCCAGCTTCATGGGACTCGTGTACATGTGTCACCAGTAGGACGCATGGGCCCTTTCTGCAACATGGGTGTTTGGTGACAAGAACCACCAAGTTTGGGTACCATCAAACAGCTCCCAAATCGGATCCTGCTGCAGGTGGTTTCCGACGCTTGCCGAGAACCGTCATTGAATCGAACCGATGATTTCAGACACCCAAGGCCCAAGGGAGGCCACTGGCAGTTGGCGTGAAGCCGCTTGCAGGGTGCTTTGAAGCGAGCCTGCGCATTTTCACTGGCGCAATCTCGCTGCTCTGCTCACTCAAGCTTTAAAGTTTCGCCGAGGAACCTCCGTAGTAGTACATAAGCCTGGCCGGAGGCATCCAGTCTGTTCGCAGCGCGTTCTAAGTGTTTAATGCATGGCCGGGATGACCTTCCTTGAAAGCCACTTGCAGGCGCTTAAAAGTGCACCTGCGCATTTCCGCTGCTGGAGTCTAGCCGATCTGCTCGCTCAAGCTTTTGAGTCTCCCCGAGGAAGTAGGCTGGAGCCAACTCGTCTGTTTGCACTGCTCTATATGACTCTTTAATGCACGGCCGGGATGACCCTCCTTGAAGTGGAGTTTTGAGCTGCCGCTGCCACCTCTCGCGTTTTGCACATGCATCTCTAAACACATCTTGGCCGTACCAACTTGGCGGATCTTGTGAAGAAGGGCAAAGCTTGAGAGGTGTCGCGCCATGGCATCGTCTTGTCGAAGTAGAACTGGTCGGACTGCGTGCTGCCGGCAGCGTCCGAGCACAAAAATGCAAGAGCGACCGAGCGGTTGCAAGGCCTTCTGGGATAAAAAAACCGACCGGCTCGTGACTCAAAACGCCTTAGTTGCAGCTCAGGGTCCGATCACTTAGTCCTTGTCCTTTAAACGCTGCTCAACACCTCATTCACCATTTTTGAGACTGAGCTGGGCATTGGGCTCCCGTTGGGGGGACTGTCTCTATCAAAGCATCTGCGCCTGTTGGGACTGCTGTTGAACCTTGTTTGCCGTGAACACACTTCATTTCAAACGTACGGAATAGTCAAGCACGAAAAGGAAGCAAGTCGAGCAAGATTGGGAACGTGGAAAGAAGCATTCCTGCCACATCTAAGTCATATACGCGCGCATCCCATCCTTCTGCGACAGTTTTCCCAGGGCCACGGTTTTTGAAGAGAAGGGCCCCCCCCACCCCCGCCCTTTTTGCATCGAGCGCCCCCGCCATCCCGCGTCCTGGTTGGGTGGTCTTCTTTGCCCTTCGCTTTCGGGCCTAAGATGTGGGTTGCAGGCGGCACCCATTCTAGATGCCTCCTAGACGCCGCAATCTCTACATGAACCCCGTAAGCTCCTACACAAACCCTACATAACCCTACAATCCCTGTATACATGCTACTTGTATGATAAACCCCACATAAACCCCCATAATCTCTAAATAAATCCGAGTTTGTCGAATCGCGAAGCTTCGTCCCAGTGAGGCAGGCACCCGGCTGTGGCGGAGCCCTGGGGATGGAACTGGCCACACGTGAGTTCATGGGCTCCCCTACTACCTCCCTCGATACTACCCCCGTTTAGGGTTTAGGGTTAAGGGAGTAGGTTCCTTCGGGGTGTGGCGTTTAGTGCTTCTGGCGGGTTTCAGAGATGGGCCCCATAGTGGCTGGCTTTAAGACTTCACAAGGCTCAATTTCTGACCCTGCCCTACTTATAAGTACCCACGAACCTCCAAGTAGGTGTTCCTTGCCAGGATGTAGGTATTTGTAGACAAGATGCCATCTGCGGGAGCTTCTCGTACGGCAGTTAGCCTTTTGAACTCAAGCAACACATTTGTTGTCTACCTCGCCAAAACTATCTGTTTTTTTTTGCCATGCGCAGCCTGAAACTCCGAAGCTCCCTCACAGACCAGATGTGTTGATTCAGGACATGTTCCTTGTAAGAGCCCCGACATCATATGTGGCACATGCTAATGATTCTGGCACGCAGCCACTGGCAACGACAAGAAACAGACTTCAACTGGAATTAGTAGGGCACGCGTAGGATTGCCTATAGGTGAGCCAATCTTGAGTTCTCACAATTGCGCCGGGGACGGCCCTGGGTGGCAGGCCGGGCAGACCATGGGACCTAGTAGTTGTCACCCACTTATATGCCCTTTAAGTATCCGAATAGGGTTATACTTGGGTTGTCAAGGGCTACGAAGTACCCTGAATCCTCCAAGTCTGAAACAGGGTTAATATTACTGTTATTGGTGAGTGTGTATAGGGTTCCTTTTTAATATTGGTGAGTGTATACACCTGGTGTCCTTTTGGGGGTACAAGAAATATATA